TTCAACTGCACGGTGCATTACATCCTTAAAACGGCCACCCTGTGCTGGCTTATTTCCATCAATGACTGTTTTTTCTAATATTTTTACATTTTCACCATTCTCTTGAACATTAGTTTCATGCTCTTCAGTTAATTTAATTTCTTGAAAATCACCAGTTGTGGAAACTGAGACCTTGAAACAAAATATTAAAAAGTTAATTATAACGAAAATTACTTTAGTTTTAGTAGACTGATCAGCAAACTGAACAGAACCCAAATCAGTAAGTAAATGCTTTGAGTCATCCCAACGTCCATAACAAAAATCAATTCCGCCTACGAAAGCAATCAATTGATCAATAATTAGCAACTTCTCGTGATGTGCCCAAAAGAAAGTTCCAGAACCAAGATAATGATCAGGGTGGCGCATAACCTTAAAATTTGCACCTTTTTAAAAATTGCTTTGGAAATGAATCGTTACTCATGAATATCTAACAATAAACCAATTAACAATCCAATATTCACAAAAATTAATATAAAATTACAACAAACTTTTATATTTGGATGAAGCCCTTGAAGCAATTTTTTGGAATATAAACTTTTCAGGCCCAAAGCCATCTCCATCTCCTTGTAGACAAGAACAAATATCCTTACACCCTTTTCCGCTTTTCTTTTCAAAGTGTAATCCAAACGCCAGTGATTACCTTCAGCCATAGGACGTCGTAAAAATATTTCTGGGCTCAACCACCTTTAATATTAAAATTTCAAAATAATCAAAATTAAATACCAATCTGCAATAAAAATTTCTTCTCTAGCCATTTCAATAAGTGAAGAGACTTTTTCCCAACAATCTTTTGCATCCACAAACCACTGACAATAAGAATTTAATCGTTGAGGAAATGAAGAACCATATCGCTTTTTATGTAACCAAATTTGCCCACTTCTTTCTTCAGTGCAATTTTTAATTGTATCTACCCAATCTTGGGTATCTTCTTCTGTTGAACATTTTAACATTAAAACACTAAAAAAATAATTTTTTTTCAGAATTTTCTTAAAAAACAAAACTGTTGAAGATTAGAAACAACAAATTCTTTAGGACGTTGTTTTGTATTAATTAAAAGCTCGTGTGAATTAATTTCAAACTGTTCATCGAAAAGGAGGACAAGACGTATTTGCTCATTAGAGGGATCCATATATGCTACCTAAAAAAATTAAAATTAAGATAAGATGAAAGTAGTTAAACATGCTAGAATGACAAGATAGAGGAAATCCAGGCAGTCAAGGGCGTATCCAGAGGGTCGGTTTCAGACCCCTGGATACGCCCTTGCAGCCAGTAATGCCAATAATCGCTTTTATTTTTACAAGAATTAAACTTACATAAGTATCTTTGACCATTAACCATCTAAATAATTAAAAAATTTAAACTTAAAAAAAATTTAAAGAATCAACCTTCTGCTCCAAGGAAGAAGCCAACTAAGGCAAAATTGTTTACACCCAATATATACTTTGTTACCACCAGGCCGTTTCTTTACTTTTCCTTCTTTGTATTTTCCACCAAGTTCATTAATAAAAGAATAACGAGAGACGTCGAGAAATTCTGCCTTAAAATTTTATTTATAAAAAAGATTGAATTTTAGGAATCAGAAAGATCACACAAAAACTAAAAAGAATCATCCATAATGATTGAATAAAATATATTAGGAAAAATACATCCACAGAGCTAACCTAACAATGAATTAAACTAAAAAAATTTACACAAGACAGCTAAAGAAATTGTTTTGAATTAAAAAGAGGATCAGAAATCAACGAAAAATAATTAGGAAAATTTATAAAGGAAAAGACAGGAAATTCTAATATCCCTAAAATATGTAGAATAAAAGGAATTTTTATGTGCCTCTTAGAGACTAAATTTCTTGATATTTTTAAATAACTAATAAATAATTTAAATTTCTTTAAAAAATAAACCGTTTCGTGATATTCTCTGTTTATTGGAATTTCAAGTACAGAACGAAGCCATTTCTCCAATCTTTTTGCTCTTTCTTGCATTTGAGTGTCTGATAGAACAGAATCAGGTAAAACAGGAAAATGGGGCAATTGATTAGCTGTTTGGAATTTTGAAGGTATTTGGTGGGTTGAATTTTGTTGTGAAGAATTGTTGGTTGAATTATTTTCATTTGAAGTTTTAGAAACTAAAAATTAAAGAAATTTTTTAAATGAAATTAAAAAAATTAAATGTCTAAACGATTAAAATAAAGACCAAGTGCGTAGCAAGAGGGGCTGAAGCCCCAACACCGAAACGAGGGTCGACTCCCTAGCTATGACCTTGGTAAAGATTTGATTTAAAATATTAAAAAAGATATAAGGGGAGAAGAAAAATCTAATAAAAATTATAGTTTTTTAAAAACCTCCTCTATATTAGAAAATAAAAACCTCCACTTGTCTCCCATGTAGAATCAGCAACACAGCCCTCATTGTAATCATCTATCTCGGGAGACTTGGAGAGAGTAAATACCTAAATAAAAAATTAATATAAGGAAAGCTTCGAACAAATCTTTTAAAATTAAATTAGAAATTAATTTTTAAAAAGGAAAAATAAATCTAAAATTTTAAATAAACATAAAAAAATACCGGATATAAATTTGGCTCTTTTCCTTGTTTTTGCTTATCCTCTTCTTCAATTGTTGTACCTTCAATTACTTCTTCAATTCGATGTCTTGCCCTAAAATTATTTGTAAAAGAAATTTTAATCAAGAATAAAAAAAAACCTTCTAACGGGAGCTTTAAACATTTCAGCAGCTCTGTGTGCCATTAAACGACTTGATAAATAAGAAAAGTCTTTGTATCTTTTGAGAACCCTCCATTTGTATCGACCATGTTCTAGTTCAATTGTATAACTAGAAAAAATAAATTTATAAATTTAAAGATGTTAAAAATTTATTAACGTTCAAATTAAAAGATTTATTTTGTTAATGGTGCAGAATTTGGGGAGACACCAGGGCTGCACGCAATTACGGATTGCGTTTGCGGATTTTTAAAAAAAATTGCGAGTTGCGGAATCTTTTTTTTCCAATTGCGTGGAGCCCTGACTGACATCTTAAAAACACCTTAAAATTATTTTTTTTCTGAAAATAATTTTATTTAGCCAATCGCTGATCACGAATCTGAGCTTAGATTCGTGATCAGTATGGTCGATTACTTACGTACATAAAATTATTTTCGGAAAAAAATAATTTTTTAACGTGTTTTTAAGGCGTCTCCCCAATTCTGCACCATTACCTTATTTTAAAAAGGAAGGAAAGGGGAACCAAAATAAAATAAAAATTAAATTAAAATCACTTACATAAAAGGATTTAAAATATGATATCCAGTAGAAGTGTCCCTTTGTACTTTAATAATTGTTGCCTCAACAGGAAGACAAGGAATCCAATAACCATTTTTTCTTACTTCAATTTGACTTTCATAAATTGTTGAATAGGGAATATATCCTTTTCTTCGTTTTGGACTAGTTTTTAATTCTTCAGCATTTCCATCACAATCACAACTTGTATCAACCAAAGGATTAGAAATATCAGTAGTTGGTTGATGCCCCATTTAATTTGTTTTAGTATACCCAATAAAATACTGTTAATTTAAATAATCTAGGTAATATAAAAAGTAGTGACCGGTCCGGATTCGGCCGGATTTTTCCGGAGTCCGGGTCCCAAATCCGGGGTTTAACACAATCTCCGGATTAAAACCGGACCGGATTAATCCGGAAAAATCCGGTCCGGCTCTAGTTGCAAATCCGGAATCCGGTTCCGGAAAAATCGATTACCGGTTACTAATAAAAAGGAAAAAATTAGAATCACAATCAGCTGGAAAATTTTAATTTAGAGTCTTAAAAAAGTGTATCAATTGAGTCAGAATAATTCGAACACAATTAACAAACGACAACTCAGTTTTAGTTTTTTTATTTTGTGAAATTTGCATTTTAAAAATCCTTTCTAATACGTAGTTTTAAAGTTCAAAAAATTCAAGACAAACGAACTCAGATTTATTTGAAAACTTTTAAATTATTTTCATCAGAAAGTTAAAAAGAATTTAAGTGTTTGAAAAATATTGTTGGATAAACAAAAAGAAAATAAAGAGAGAGAGAATTTTTGTTAAATTTTTTATAAAGTTTTCCTGTCAACATTCGAGAAGGAAAGAAAAGAAGAAATTTTTTTTAAAAAAAAGTGGTTGCAGAATTCTTAAAAAGAAAAAAAATTTTTATTCCCAAATGACTGGTTGATTCATTCTTTTTCATTTGACAAATTTTTCTTATTTTTCATTCAATGAATTTAGAGGAAGATGCGTCCGATTAGTGAACGACATATCGACTTTTTCTTAAGGAAAAAAAGTCGTTTTAAAAAAATCTACAATTATTCGCGAACGACTTTTTTTTAAACACACAACGCCAGAACTACGTAAATATCGATGTTTTGCGCCAAACGATTGCGAAACGACTTTTTTGTGTCTCTTTTTCTCTGCTCTGTCATTATATTTCCTTTCTCTTTTTCTATTAATTTTCGTTCGTGTAGTCTCTCCTTTGGAATTTGCAATTTTCCATTTTTATAAATGTTCAGTCCCTTTTCTGTAATTTTTAGGGATTTTTCCACATATATTCTTACTAGATGGAGAGGAGAAGTAAGAGGAGATGATTTGTCAGAGCAGCTTTAGCCAAAAGTGGATTGAAAGCCTTTAACAGGAAAATGAGTGAAATTTTCATTGAAAATCCGGAAAGTCTTTCCATCATCAGATGTGCTGCTTACCTTGATCCTGCCGTTTGTTTCCCCACCTCCCCTAAAACACATCTCAAATTAAAAATCAAGACAAACTTTTTTGTGAAATTAATTTATGTATCCGTGATTCAAAAACAAAGTAAATAATTATAAGGACGACAAAACAAAATAAATTTAAAGAAAAACAAAGTCAACGAGGAGATCAATCCATCAAAACCTTTTACATTAAAAACCATTCGGTAAATACGTGAAGCGTGTTGTTGTGGATCTTCAAGAGAGACCTTAATACCTTAATAACTTTGCAAAGTTTCTCAAATTTAACTTTATCTTCTTCAAACTTCTTCTTTTCCTCTTCACTTTCTGGCAACTCCAAACCTTCTTTAGTCACGCTAACCAACTTCTTTCCATCAAATTCTTTCAATTGTGAATGCAATATTCATCAATTGGATCAACCATATAAATAACTTCAAAACCTCGCTTCTTAACACGTTCAACAAAAGCTGAGTTTTGAACAACTTCTTTAGACTCGCCAGTAATATAATAAATGCAAGTCTGATTCTCCTTCATTCGTCCAACATAATCCTTCAAGCTAACAAGTTCATCGCCAGAAGAGGAAGCGTTGTAACGGAGATATTCGGCAAGCTTTTTACGGTTGACAGAATCTTCGTGAATACCCAACTAAAGAACAAATAATTTTCAAAAAAACATTTAAAAAAACCTTAAGATTCTTGCTGAATTGTTCATAAAATTTCTTAAAGTTGTCCTTGTCTTCAGCAATTTCATCAAAAAGTTCGATACACTTCTTGACCAAATTCTTTCGGATCACTTTAAGAATTTTGGATTGTTGGAGCATTTCACGAGAAATGTTAAGAGGAAAGTCCAATGGAGAGAATTCCAATGGAGAGACAACGACATAGAAAATTAATAGAAAAAGAGAAAGGAAATATAATGACAGAGCAGAGAAAAAGAGACACAAAAAAGTCGATTCGCAATCGTTTGGCGCAAAACATCGATATTAACGTAGTTCTGGCGTTTTGTATTAAAAAATAGTCGTTCGCGAATAAAAGTAGTTATTCGCCGCGAATCGACGAAAACGTAGATATGTCGTTCACTACGTCCGATTAATCAATTAATTTTGTTGAAAAATAGAAAAGAAAGGGAATGGCCAAATTATACTTAACTAAATTTTATTAGAATAATAGTGGTTTTGTTATAATTATTAGAGGACGGTATTGATGTTCGGGAGTGAAAAAAGCCGAGACCGAGAGCTCAAAAAACCCGGGAAATTTCCCGACTCGGGAACCGAGACGGAGAGTCTCGACCATCAGTAAAGATGGATTTTTATTGAAATAAAATCGCAAAATATGGCCAGAAATTATTAAGATAAATCGGCAAAATATTTACAAAAATTGCCAAAAATTAGTTAAATATTGAAATAAAGGCCCTATCTGAAAATAATGCGGCAATCAAATTTTTTCTCTATTCTTAAAAATGGTAATTTTCTTATATTTTTCTCTCTATTTTTGATTTTTGCCTTAAGACTATAAACGCAAAAGGATTATTTTTCTTTAATTTTGTGAGCATTTACTTTTTCTTGTCTGGGACAGTCCGTGTTTTGACTGTCCGAGTTCGTCCGTGTCTGTCATTGTTTTGACTGACCGAGTTTGTCAGACAAAACACGGACGTCAATGTTTGTCTGTCCGAGTCCGTCCGTGTCTTGTCTGTCCGAAACCGTCCGTGTTTTGTCTGTCCGTGTTCGGCCGTGTTTTCTGTCAGAGTCCGTCCGTGTTTTGCTTGTCCGAAACCGTCCGTGTTTTGTCTGCCCGTGTTTTCTGTCAGACAACACAAAAATGTAATATTTTTTTATTTTTTGCTTTTAATCTTTTCTCTATAATTACATTTGAACATGCCACAGGGAAATTCATTTGAAGTGAACGAGGGAAAAATTCTGACCTTTCTGTACAAAATAAGGAAAATTATGGAAAGGAAAAAATGAAGGAAAAAATTTGATTGCCGCATTATTTTCAGATAGGGCCGAAATAAATTATGGTATATTTAAAAACAAAATAAAAACAAAGTTGAAATTTTACAAAAAATTAATCCTGTTTTTCATAATTTTATGTTTTTTCGCTCTTTTTGGTTTTTATATGTAGATGCAAAATAATTGCTCAATATCACAAAATTGTAATGGGGCAAACCTTATTTATTCAAGAATACTTAGTGGCATGTTGATACTAAGGTTGGCGGATACTGGGAAATGCCCTAATATTCCAATCCGATAATTTCGGATATTCGGTCAGAACCGAAATTTTTATTAAAGTAGTGAAGATTGTCCTATAATGAAGAATGTCTCGGGAATAATTAGCGGTAAGGCAATGCCATTGTAGTGTAGATAAGTTGAATTATTTAATTGAATTATTTAAATTGAATTATTAAAAATTTAAAGGAAATACAAAGCTAAATTTACAATTTAAAATAATTATTAAAAGAATTTTATTTTAATTATTTATTCTTAACATCAATTTTTCATTTAACGAATCATTAAAATTAACGGTAGGGGGTAATAAGCAATTCTATGTTGCCATTAAAAATGAGTTGTGCCAAAATGCATGTTACATCTAAAAGATTATTTTTAGTATTTAAAATTAAATTTTGATTATCTTTAAAAATAGTTTGTTATCAAGAAACGTTAAAAAAGTGTTTATGATTTATTTTTAAAGTGAAGGGCTTATTTTTAATTTCCTTACGATTAATATACATAATTAGATAAACGTCTATAAACTCCAAATCTTTGAAAAGCCTTTTCCCAAATATATAAAATATTAAATAGCCAATCTAATAGCCAAAATTAAAAATCCAAAAATCGAAGATTTAGAACCTTGTATAATTGTTATAAATACCAAATTTCTGCTACTAAACTATACAAATTTCCCACTGATCAAACACAAAATACCCCATATACTCTATTAATTACCCTCCCTCAAATAATTACCCCACCTCTAATAGTTACTCACTCCAGCGAAAGTTTAAAACAATAATTACTCCCTTAAAACTAGTTATAATTGGCCTTCCTAACTTAACCTCTAATAATTACCACACCTATCAATTACCCCCTCCAGAGAGAGGTCGAACCAATAATTACCCAGAGTAATTAATAGAGTATATACGGTAGCTACTATGTATGTACTTTTATCTAAACTTTATTTTTTAATTTATTTTAAATTTACAACTTTAGAAAATAAATATGGAATTATTAATAAAGTTTATTAAAAGTTTGAATACTGTACTAAAAATTTAAATAAAGGGATTCCTCCTTCGTTCTTTCTCATTGGCTTCTTCATTTATTGCTTTTAAGATTACACAAAAAATTATGTACTTATCAAAACTTTGAAAATATGAACATATATTAAATTCTAAATTAAGTAAAATATATATGTAGATTATTTATAAAAATAGAAAATAATAATAAAAATAATATTTTTTAATAAAAAAAGCTTAAAATCTTTAGATATTTTCAATGTTAAATGTACGTCAGTTCGAAAACAACTTATGTAGTGGATTGTCGTAGAAAATAAATGACGTTCGAAGCTTACAGTCAAAATTAAAATATTATTTTTTTGTTCAACCCCAAACAAATTTATATATTTGATTCTTTTAAAATGAAAATAAAAATTAGCTAGAAAAAGGAGATGTTTTTATAAATTTTTGGATATTTATTATGGGAGCGAGCCCAATGTATCATCGAGCTATAACTTTGTTCAAAATTGTCGAATCTGTGGCGCCCTGGTATGGTTTGATGTGGCTCGACCAGCTGAATCGAACCATACCAGGTTCGATTTAATAATTATTATAATTTCTTTTAATAATTATAATAACTGTTATTGGAGGGACGAATAATTTTATAAAAATATTGTTTTAGTCATTTAAGCAAAAAATGAACTAAAAAATAATAATTTAAAAGATAATTTAATTAAATATAAATTTATTTATTAGTATTAATTAATTCTTAAAATTTTTTATTACTTTAGACAACTCAAACTTTTAATAAAAATATTAATAATGTTAGGCGATCTTTTATTATAGGGATTCAATGTTGAATGTCTTTAAGTATATAGTATTTTATAAAAAAATATTTGGCTTAAATTCATAAAATGTGGAACATTTATTAATATTTTTTAATAATTATTATGGAAGTTATTTTATTATTAAAATTATAAAAGTATTTTGAATGAAGATACTTTCTCTTTTTTCCCTATTTGAATTAATAACTCTTGTTTATTGCCAATTTAATCTTCCAAATGATTCAACAACAATTTCAGTATTGCCTGAATTAACAACAACAATCTCACCATCTACATTACCTGAAGTAACAACTAATTTTGTATTAACTGATTTATTTAATCCAACAAACACAACAACAACAACGACAACATTATTTAATGATGATACAAATAAAACATTGACAACAACAACTTCAAAATCAATCACTCCATTCACTTCCCCAACATCAACACCCTCAAATGGATTAAATTTGCAATTGAAAGTTGGGTTGCTATTTGCTAATGGTTCAAAAGATTTACGAGCACAATTTGGTTTTGGTCAATCAGCACCAGCTATTAATATAGCAATGCAAAGGGCTGCTAGTGAACAATTAATTAACAATATTAATTTTAAGTATTTTTGAATTTTGTTCTTAAAAAAAATTCTTTTTCAAAGTTTTACGTGGTTTATGTGTGATTGTGATGAAGCTTTAGCCGCTGGATACACAAACAGACTTTTTCTTAATTTAAGTGTTGATGTTATTATTGGCCCTCCATGTGTTACCGGTAAATAATACAAGGGAATAAATAGAAATATTAAGTTATTAAAAAAATAATTGAACTTAAAAACAAAATTTTTTGTTAAAATCAAAGTCTCTCATATCTACATATATTACCTATATTTTCTTCAAAACAAATTAAAAAAATTTTTAAATTTTCTATAGCTGCTCTAATGACTGGTTATATCTCTTCTTTTTATAATTTTCCTATTTTTGTTTGGGGCGCATCAGTTACTTCAAAATTCAATCCAATTCCTACAGTTACAAATATTAACACAAATACTGTTATGTAAGTTTGGAATTAATTAAAAGGAATATTTTTAAATTAATTTAAAGGTTATCTATGGGTGTCCAAGCAGTTCTGTCACAATTTCAATGGCAAGAAATTTCTCTAGTTTATATTCCCGACAATATTGGAAGGCAAATAATTATTTAGAAATTAAAAATAAAATTTTAATTTTTGTTTAAGAGTTTGTAGTTATTTTAAACAAGACTTCGAATCTCTTTTAAATAATAATCCGAATATAACTATTGTTTATACAAAACAAATGGATTCAACATCTACTAGCATGAAAGATAGTTTAAGAAAAGTTATGACGTGTTCACGAAGTTTTTAAAAATAAATAATTAATTTATTCAAATTAATTAAGTTATTGTTTCTTGTTTTGATTCTGCTGTAGATCGACGTAATTTCCTTTTAGCAATGACTGATTTGGGCTTAGTTGAAAGCTCTGAATATGTTTTGGTTGTTGCACAGTTGAAAAATCAAGGAATGTTACAAGAAATAAGTAGGGAAAATGAATTATTTAAAGAATTTCATGTTAAATTCTGTATAGATAAGTGTAGATATATATATGCAGGAAAATATTTGAAACCATGTAATTTCGTTAATAAATGTCTGACTAAGTTTATGGTAATAGGAGGAGGAAAAGTTTAGCCTGCTGGCAGTTATTGCTAAACACCTTCGCCAACATAATATACATATGTATATATCCTGATTTCTTCCCTTTTAATAAATCTTAAACTCCCGCTTAGCTAGCAGGATCTTCTTTTTTTCTTTTTTTAGTTCTTTAATTTAAAAATAATAAAAAATAGTTTGAAGTTAAGTTAATATATTAAAAAATATAGATTCTTCTGGAGCAAATGGAGTTCAATATGACGGTATTTGGAAGCAATCAGACGGGTCTAACGATGGGAGAGATGCAGATGCTTTAAAAGCTGCTAGAAGGTCAATTGTTGTAAGTTTAGATTTCTCTTCAACTAGGAATTAAATCGTATCTCGAATTTAGATACTCTCGAAAATTAGAGACACTCCGATCTTGAAATACCTATTCTTAAAATTTTCATTCTTGAAATTTTTCATTAATTGAGATTTCACCTCCAATATCCTCAGCCCGTTAAGTATTCGAATTCGAGATTTAACTTTATTTAAAATATTTTTAATAAAAAAAGATTGATCTCGAAAATCAATCAGTTGATCAAATTAACACATTCAATAAAAAAATGTACGCACAATTTGGACAACCTCCATTTAATTGCAATGGCTCTTGTATGGGTGGAGCTGATGAACAAAATGTGTTTTTTTCATTCTAAATTGAAAATTGAGAATTAAATTCTTTTAGCCCTCTCCATATGCTCGAAGTTTACATGATACAACTTATGCATATTTGAGAGCATTGAATTTAACAATGTTAAAATATGGATATATGTCAAGCGATTTAGCCAGAAATGGGACACAGATAAACAATATGAGTAAAGGGGAATTTGATGGTAATGATTTGAAACTTGAGGCAGTATAGTTATGGCTTCGTTGATTTAATATAACGATTAAGCTTTAAATAAACAGTTAATAAACATAAAATAAAATAATAATTTAGGAGAAACTGGAAGAGTAAATCTTGATTCATTAGGCAACAGAGAACCAACATTTTACGTTACAATGCTTGATGCGTCTGATAAACCTCAAGATGTTATTGAAATAAGTATTGTAAACAATATTTTGGTGAATTTTATAATATTTTAATTCATTAGAGACATAATTAAACATGTATTTGTTAAGTCCGGATATTTGGGAATTTAATTTAAACGATGTGCTTTTAGAGGGATGATTAACTGACATAAAAAATTTGATAAATTCAATCCCAAAATATTTGAATGATATATTTTTCAACGGGTCATTTTAGAAACGGGGTTTCTATTAGACTGGGCTTATATTTTTTGAAAGGCCTCCTTGGGTGAGCGTATATTAGAGATGGTATTAGAGCATTTACTGTATATCGTTTCATTTGTCATTTTTCTTGCAGTCTCTAACTAAAAAATATACTGATGAAGCAACTATTTGGGCAAATAGAGGAGGAAAGAAATTTACTTTTATTTATAGCAACAGTTTATATAAACCTTTATGTGGATATACAGGTTTAGAATGTCCACAAAATATGACAACATATATATTAATTGGCGGCGGATTAATTTTACTTTTATTTATAGCAACAGTTTCGGGTATTAGTTATGCTATTAGGTTGGACATACATTTGTTGCACTAGTAAAATAAAATTATTCTTTAAAGAGAAAAATTAAAAGAAAAGGAACGTTTAACTAGAGAATGTTTAATACCTTTTGGAGAATTAAAAAATATAAAAGAATTAAAAAGTAATGAAGATATGAGAAGTTTAGAAGCAAATAAAAGTTTAAAAAGTTTACAAAGTAGCCAATCTGGCAGTACAAAATTAACAAGTATGGATGATAAAAAATTGGAAACAGAAAATTATGCACATTTTTTATATAATAGAGAAGTTGTTTTTGCTATTAAATATCAAGTTAGAGTTAGAATATTTAATGAGGATTTTGCTAATTTAAAGAAGGTAGTTTAACTGTATTAAATGTTAAAATTAAAGGATAATTCTCCTAGATACGTCAGATAGACCATGACAATTTAAATAAATTCTGTGGACTCTGTGTAGATGCACCTATTCTCTATGCTATTTGGAAACATTGTCAGAGAGGGAGTTTAAAAGTATTTTCGAAAATTAAGTATTACTAATATTTTAACACAATAATATTCTAGGATTTAATCGCCAAAGAGAGATATGTTGGAGATTCTTTTGTAATGTTTACTTTAATGAGGGATATAGCTAGTGGATTAATAGCTTTACACGGGTCGTTTGCTGGAGCACATGGAATGCTTTCCTCAGAGAATTGTTTAATTAATGATCGTTGGCAAGTAAAGATTAGCGATTTTGGATTGAATATGATTAGAGAAAGTCAACCAATGTCGAAAAGAAGTAAAAAATATTATAATTTTTGATTTAAAAGGAAATAAATATTAACGGTTGTTTACACCCATATTAAATAAAATATAAACGAAATGGTCCTACAAATCCACCTCTAGTTCCCTCTCGTTAGAGATTGGAATGCCATTATCAAGTCCTTAAATCTGTATTTTTTAAGAATTATTGTGGACAGCACCAGAATTATTAAGAGAAAATAATCGAAAAGGAACAAAAGAAGGAGATGTTTATAGTTTTGCTATAATTTGTTGTGAATTAGTTAATAGAGAAACTGTTTGGAATGGAGTTGAAAGAGAAGATGATGTTGATGGTTTGTAGAAAAAAACACCCTTAAAAACGCCCTTGATCTTTTTTTAGAGATACTTTACCGACTAAGACGATCAAACGTGGCAATCCCACACCGACCTCAATTGCATCCTCGAGAGGAGATCAATCAAAATTTGGTAAAAATTGTTTTAATTTCTAACTGATATCCTCATTTTTATCTTAGTTACACTTAGTCCGTGATTGCTGGGGTGAGATTCCGACTGAACGCCCAAAAATTGATATGGTCAGAACAATGTTGAAGCAAATGGTTAGGGATGGAAATCAAAATTTAATGGATTATGTTTTTGGAATGATGGAGCAATATGCAAGTTCTCTAGAACAAGAAGTTGAAGAAAGAACTAGAGAATTAGTTGAAGAAAAAAGAAAAAGTGACATTCTTTTATATAGAATGCTTCCAAAACAAGTTGCCGAAAAATTAAAATTGGGGGAATTTGTTGAACCTGAGCAATATACAGCTGCTACTTTATTCTTCTCCGATGTTGTTTCATTTACAACTTTGGCCAGTAAATGCTCACCCCTTCAAGTATGCAAATTAAGATTGGCGCCTAGTTGGAAATCTTCGAATATCCGGCAGATCCGGATTTCGGCCAAATGAACCGAAATCCGGATCCGCCAGCCTTAATGCAAATATTAGACATTAAATTATGCTCTCTTACAATTAATAATTTAAAGGTTGTGAACTTATTAAACGGTCTCTACACAGCATTTGACGGAATTATAGATAGTCATGATGCTTACAAAGTTGGTAAGTAAAGCGCAGAATTGAGCTCAAAATATCAATGATATATTTGTCAGAGACAATCGGAGATGGCTATCTAGTTTGTTCCGGAATTCCCCGTCGAAATGGAAATGATCATGCTAAGGCAATTGCCGAATTATCTTTTTCTTTCCTGCGTACCGTCTCAACATTTCGAATTGATCACTTGCCAAATGAACGTGTTAATTTACGTATTGGAATACATACTGGTTACTAAATGAATTGTTAATTTCCTTAAAAAATATTTAAGGACCAGCAGTAGCTGGAGTTGTTGGATTGACAATGCCTCGTTATTGTTTATTTGGAGACACTGTAAATACAGCTAGTAGAATGGAATCTAACGGAAGACGTAAAAAATAAATTTAATTTCCCTAAAATATGCTTTTCCTTTCAACAGCTGGACGTATCCATATATCAACCACAACTAATCATTATTTAACTAACATAATTGGAGGATATGTAACAGAACCTAGAGGAGAAGTAATTATTAAAGGAAAAGGAGTTATGGAAACATTTTGGCTACTTGGACATTCTGGGGATTCTCATTACTTTTCAGGTACAGGTGTTACTAATGGTGATCGTGACACTCCAGAACCTATTTGATCAAAATTTGTCTTTATTTTTGTATATAACTTTTGTTTACTCATTTTTCAAGACGATTCCATTATCTTTTTATCTGTAAAGACCTCAAGAATAAAAATATTGAATCTTGTCCACGGTTTGTAATTCATTTGTAATCCAGTTTGGAAATCCATGGCATCCGTTATTCATATAAACTTTGTACAATTTCAGAATCCTAATTTATATGAATAAGATAGCAGGTGTTCTTATCTATATGGATAGGGTGAAAATCACGAATGTAGCGTTAACTAATCATAATTTTGTAACCAATTAATTCCAATTTAAAACTTTATGCGCATAATCTGGACAAGGGCCAATATATGTTTCATTGTATATATGGATATGTATATTATTTTCTTTGTTACTATTTTATAAATTTTTTATAATTTTGTAAATTGTTTTTTTATTTATATGTCTGGTGATTTCGGCAGTATGCGATTTGGGCTATGATAATAATAAATTAGAATTTGGGCAATGAGTGATTTAGGCAATAAACGTTTAAAAAATTTTCATGCAATAACAAGAGTAACAATAAAAAATAATTATGAGAGATTTTGGCGGTAGGTAATTTGTGTGATCTAGGTATTAACTAACCGTATTTATTCTAATAGAAAAACAATGATTCTATTTTTGGACTTTATACTAAGCTGCCTAATTTAGGCTTTATACTAAGCGTCTTGAAAGCATGCATGTTTTAATGAGAAAATATATTTTCAAGCCATTGTCTAGAGGAGATAACGACAACTTGAAAAATTGGTCTGATTTATCTTGAACTACGAAAGATTTTCAGTAAACAGTTCAAAAAATTAGTGCCAAATTTTCTAAACTTCATTCTTAAATCATGTAAATAACACCAACTTGTGGTATTTTTTATATTAAATTAAAACATAAATTTTTAAAAGTTTTTTTTTATTTTATCCTTAAATAAAAATAAAAATCCAAAAGTTCAAACATATCTGAACTTTTTATGATATTATTAGGGTTGCCAAAATAAACGACTCGGACCGGAAGATCGAGTCGAGGCAAGAATATTTGGCCCAAATGCGAGGCCCGAAAAATAGCTATAAAAAACTCGAAAACGGCAACCCTAATATTAATAGATTAGACCACAATATAGTAAAATCATAAATGATAATAGTTGAAAAATAATTATTAAATAGAAATTTTCTTACTGTATTTTTAATTTAATACCTGTGTACTTTTGGATTTAATTTAACTCTTAAAATTATTTTATGATTTACTGGCTTCTAATAATTAATAAAAAAGAAAAAAATATTTCTTTAGCCAATAAAACTTATCTCCTTAAATTATCAACAAATATTTTAATTTGGCTTCTTGAATGGCTATAACTTTCTGAAAATTTTTTAATAAAAACAACTTTTATTAAAAAATTTTACTTTTAATCCTTACATTATTTCTAAGCATTAAAATCAAGAATTTTCATTATTAATAAATAATGGATATTAATATTTTACAAGGAACTTCTAGGGATGCAATTTTGTTTTTATTACTTTTTGTGGATTATCGTCTCAGATTTATAGAAAAATTATGTTCTTGATATTTAATTTTAACATCGTTCTAAAGCTTATTTTACATTTCTTTTTAAAAACTATAGATCTAATAGTATATAATTTTAAGCTTTAATGCAATCATGAATTATTTATTTTAAATGAAATTACTATCAATCTCTCCTGTATTTCTTCTGAATTATTTATTTGTTTGTGTCTATAGCCAATTAAACTCAACTAATGATACAACAACAATTATTATATTACCTGATTCTACAGGTACAACAACTACAACAACATTATTGCCCACATTAATAACTACAAAACCGAGTACAATTACCACCACAACATCTGTTATTAAACCAAACACAACATTAACAACTTCTACATCTACTACTTCAACACCTCCATCTACTTCGACAACACAACCAACACCAACAACATCAACACCCTCAAATGGATTAAATTTGCAATTGAAAGTTGGTTTGCTATTTGCTAATGGTTCAAAAGATTTACGAGCACAATTTGGTTTTGGTCAATCAGCACCAGCTATTACTTTAGCAATGCAAAGGGCTGCTAGTGAACAATTAATTAACAATATTAATTTTAAGTATTCTTGAATTTGTCTTTTAAATTAATTTTTTTTCAAAGTTTTACTTGGTTTATGTGTGATTGTGATGAAGCTTTAGCTTCAGGTTATACAAATCAACTATTTGTCAACTTGCATGTTGATGCTATAATTGGCCCACCTTGCGTTACATGTAATAATTTTAAGTTAAACTACTATTATGGACAAAGCAGCTAAATCTGTACTTTTTTGACTATTGGGGGATCCAAGATAAACTATTTGGAAATAATAATTTATCTAATTAACATTTTAGCTGCCCTAATTACTGGATATATTTCTTCATTTTATAATTTTCCTGTATTTGTATGGGGTGCAGCAGTTGCAGCTGAACTAAATGATATTCCAACTGTGACTAATGTTAATACAAACACAAATATGTAAAAGTTTTTCACTTAAAAAATTATGAATGATAAAATTTTCTTAAGAAATTTTAAATTTAAAAATATTAATTTTAAATATTTAATAACCAAAGTAAAAATACATTCAATGTTAGTGTTTAAATGTTCGGTCATTTGTGTTAATCAAAAGTATGTATATGGGAATTTAGGAATGCTCTTAGTCTTGGAATTTCTTAGTTAAGCATTGACATGGAACTTAAATTTCCTAACATCCAAAAAGTCGAGAACTCAATTTAGCCTTACAGAATCATCCTTGACATGGGATAATTTTCGCCCTCCTGGCATAATAAGCAGGAAAATTTTTGTAAATTATGTAAGAATTAGCAAAATATTTAGAAGATTAATCAGAGAAAGACCTCTCCCGGTTCTCTTTTTAATTTATTTTATTACCACCTAAAATTGCAGGCTTGCTATGGGTGTGCAAGCACTTTTAATGCAATTTCAATGGCAAGAAATATCAACAATTTATATTCCAGACAATATTGGAATGTATTAAATTAAAATTTAAAAATTTATTTAAATTAAATATTCAAAGGGTTTGCTCATATTTTCAGCAAGATATGGAGTCCCTTTTAAATAATAATCCAAATATAACAATTGTTTATAAAAAACAAATGGATTCAACAACCGCTAGTATGAAAGAAACTTTAAATAAAATTAAAACTTGTTCACGAAGTTTTTCTAAAAATAATTAAGTTGAATAATATTTATATTAAAGTTATTGTTTCTTGTTTTGATTCTGCTGTAGATCGACGTAATTTCCTTTTAGCAATGAATGATTTGGGTTTGGTTGAAAGTACCGAATATGTTTTAATTATTGCACAATTGCAAAATCAGGGAATGCTTCAACAAAGTGATTAGGAAATTAAAAAATAATTTTTAATTTAAGAAATAATTCTTTTAATTTTTGAACTAAATAGCAGAATGATTTACTGTTAAAGATTTGAATATATCTAATTTATGAATTCTGTTAATTTGTCTTTAAATTAAGGAATTTTTTAAAGTAAACATACTATTTCTAAATTAATTAAGTTTCTTCTGGAGTAAATGGCGTTCAATATGACAGTTTTTGGAAGCAATCAGACGGGTCTAACGATGGGCGAGATGCAGATGCTTTAAAAACTGCTAGAAGGTCAATTGTTGTAAGTTTAGATTTCTCTTCAACTAGGAATTAAATCGTATCTCGAATTTAGATACTCTCGAAAATTAGAGACACTCCGATCTTGAAATACCTATTCTTAAAATTTTCATTCTTGTAATTTTTCATTAATTGAGATTTCACCTCAAATATCCTCAGCCCGTTAAGCATTCGAATTCGAGATTTAACTTTATTTAAAATATTTTTAATAAAAAAAGATTGATCTCGAAAATCAATCAGTTGATCAAATTAACACATTCAATAAAAAAATGTATGCACAATTTGGACAACCTCCATTTAATTGTAATGGCTCTTGTATGGGTGGAGCTGATGAACAAAATGTGTTTTTTTCATTCTAAATTGAGAAACTTAAAATTTTTAGCCTTCTCCATATGCTCGAAGTTTGTATGACACAACTTATTCCTATTTGAGAGCATTAAATTTAACAAAAGCTCAATATGGCTATTTATCAACGGATTTAGCTAGAAATGGGACTTTAATTAATAATATGAGTAATGGGGAATTTATTGGTAATTTACAAAAGAGAAGGAGAATTTTTAAAAAATAAATATTAGGTGAAACAGGAACAGTAATACTTGATTCATTAGGAAATAGAGAACCAACATTTTATGTTACTATACTTGATACTCAAGATCAACCACAAGATGTTATTCAAATAAGTATTTTAAATAGTATTTTGGTAATTTTTTGTTGATTTTTTAAAATTTATTTTTAAAAATTCCAGTCTTTAACTAAAAAATATACTGATGAAGCAACTATTTGGGCAAATAGAGGAGGAAAGAGGCCCTTATATAAACCTTTATGTGGATATACTGGGACGGAATGTCCACAAAATATGACAACATATATATTAATTGGTGTTGGATTAATTCTTCTTTTGTTCTTTGCAACAATTTCGGGTGTTGGTTATGCTATTAGGCGAGTTTTTAATTTTTGTGTGAAACAAATTCCTTGCTTGTGGGTATCTTCAGCAGGCACCTGTATCCGAATGTGGGAAGGTATGGGAAGGAAATAATTGGAAATATGTAACTCTTAAAATCCAGAGAGAATTTAGATCAAAGCTTATAAAATTTAGAGAAAAAATGCGAGAGAAAGAACGTTTAACCAGAGAATGTTTAATTCCATATTCTGAACTACAAAATATAAAAGAATTAAAAAGTAATGAAGATATGAGAAGTTTAGAAGCAAATAAAAGTTTAAAAAGTTTACAAAGTAGCCAATCTGGCAGTACAAAATTAACAAGTATGGATGATAAAAAATTGGAAACAGAAAATTATGCACATTTTTTATATAATAGAGAAGTTGTTTTTGCTATTAAATATCAAGTTAGAGTTAGAATATTTAATGAAGATTTTGTACTTTTGAGAAAGGTAATGGAAGAATTAATAAAAAATAAATAATCATTATTTCCCAGCTTCGTCAATTAGACAACGACAATTTAAATAAATTCTGTGGGCTTTGTACAGATGCTCCAATACTATATGGTATTTGGAAACATTGCCAAAGAGGCAGTCTAAAGGTAGGATATATCTTAATTTTGATATATGTACAGCTCCCTTATGAAACATGTCACAATCTTAGATCAAACATTACTTGATTGGACTATTCGGCGGTAAAAACCACCCGGGGAGAGATGGTGTAGAAATATATCGAGTTCACACTAAACCTATAACTTAAATATTCTATTTATTCTATTAAAATAGGATTTAATCGCCAAAGAACAATACTTGAGTGATGCTTTTGTTATGTTTACTTTGATGCAGGATATAGCTAATGGTTTAATAGCTTTACATCAATCATCCATAGGGGTACATGGAATGCTTTCCTCAGAGAATTGTTTAATTAATGATCGTTGGCAAGTAAAGATTAGCGATTTTGGATTGAATATGATTAGAGAAAGTCAACCAATGTCAAAAAGAAGTGAAAAAAGAATATAATTTTATAAATCTCGATTATTTTTTAAGAATTATTGTGGACAGCACCAGAATTATTAAGAGAAAATAATCGAAAAGGAACAAAAGAAGGGGATGTTTATAGTTTTGCTATAATTTGTTGTGAATTAGTTAATAGAGAAACTGTTTGGAATGGAGTTGAAAGAGAAGATGATGTTGATGGTTTGTATTAAAAACACCCTGAAATACACCCTTAATCTTTTTTTAAAGAAATTCTTTACCGATTGAGACGATCAAATGTAGCAATCCCACACCGACCTCAATTGCATCCTCGAGAAGAGATAAATCAAAACTTTGTAAAAAAATACTTAAAATATTTTACAAATAAATTTCACAGTTACATTTGGTCCGGGATTGTTGGAGTGAAAATCCTCCTGAACGTCCGAAAATTGACCAAGTTCGTTCAATGCTTAAACAAATGGTCAGCGATGGCAATAAAAATTTAATGGATTATGTTTTTGGAATGTTAGAGCAATATGCAAGTTCTTTAGAACAAGAAGTTGAAGAAAGAACTAGGGAATTAGTTGAAGAAAAAAGAAAAAGTGATATTCTTTTGTATAGAATGCTTCCAAAACAAGTTGCCGAAAAATTAAAATTGGGGGAATATGTCGAGCCAGAACAATTCATGGCAGCTACAATATTCTTTTCTGATGTTGTTTCATTTACAACATTAGCTAGTAAATGTACACCTCTTCAGGCAAGATATCATTTAGTTTCAGTTCCTTACTTCCCCCCATCCTCCTTGAATACCTCAAAGCAATGCCAACTTTGTAATTTTACACAGAGGTTTATAGAAGCGTATGGTATTAGGATCCTTGTTCTCTGATAGACAAAAAACTGCTAAGATACAATTTATGCCAAACTATTTCCTTTTAAAGTCTCAGATAACAAAAAGTTCCTAAATTATATTTAAGGTTGTAAATCTGTTAAATGGATTATACACTTCATTTGATGGTATTATTGACACTCATGATGTTTATAAAGTTGAAACAATTGGAGACGGTTATTTAGTTTGTTCTGGAATTCCTCGAAAAAATGGGAATGACCATGCTAAGGCAATTGCTGAATTATCGTTTGCTTTCCTACGTACCGTCTCAACATTTAGAGTTGACCATTTGCCAAATGAACGTGTTAATTTACGTATTGGAATACATACTGGTCTGTTAATTGCCTCATCGTTTACCCTCTTTAAAATATTTAAGGACCAGCTGTAGCCGGAGTTGTTGGTTTGGCAATGCCTCGTTATTGTTTATTTGGAGACACTGTAAATACAGCTAGTAGAATGGAATCTAACGGAAGACGTAAAAATAAATTTGGTACTTTTTCGTTATGTGCCCGCAAATACTTTTTTTATTTTCCTTATCTCCTTTTTTATAAATTTCGGAAATGGGCAATATTGAATAATGGTAAAGAATTAAGGGTACATCTCCCGCCTCGCCAGTAATTTGCTGTTTAAGACGTACAAGATGTTCAATAATTAATAGATTGATAGAGCTCGAATGATACCATAATCGGTCCGTGGGGACATCTGATCTAATTTATAGGACCCAAACATGTCCAAAAAAGAAGAAAACGGACATACATATAACGGAAAAGTAATTTAATTTCCATAAAGTATGCTTTTCCTTTCAACAGCTGGACGTATCCATATATCAACCACAACTAATCATTATTTAACTAACATAATTGGAGGATATGTAACAGAACCTAGAGGAGAAGTAATTATTAAAGGAAAAGGAGTTATGGAAACATTTTGGCTACTTGGACATTCTGGGGATTCTCATTACTTTTCAGGTACAGGTGTTGCCAATGCTGATCGTGACACTCCAGAACCTGTTTAAATCGAAAATATTTTTATTAATGTAAATATTAATTCCCTTTTAACAAACAAATATTATTCGAGGACTATGTACTGACCAAATCATTTTTAATACCTACAATTGAAAAAATTTAACAGTAATTTCTGATAAAGTCTATTTTTGATTAAAATAAATATTTTTCTTACCTATATTCATAATAATAATTCTCATTTTATAATAACAACAGGTTTAATTAATAATTGATTAGGAAAGTTTATGGATTATGGATCAAATTATAGGATAGTGGTTTTGTTACATAAAATGCTCGGAACTTTTAAAGCCTTTGCATTCGCTCTTTCTCAATAACTTTTTATTTTTACGGTTATACATATTTTTCTACAAAACTTTAAAATTTTACTATTACTAAATTATAATTAAAACTTAATTTGCCAAAAGAAACCTTTAACAATTTTTAACAGATCGAAAAATTATTTGTGGCAATAAATCCTAGAGAAAAAAAATTAAATAAGAAATAGTTAATGAAATGTTAACAAAAATTATCCACAGAAAATACGCTCATTTTTTTACAGCTGCCAAAAAATTACTTAGAACTACCTCTAATTAGAGAAAATATTTTTTAAAATTGGCTCTCTCCTATTTCTCGTTGACCTTAAAATCAATCCCGACTTTGTGATGTGCCTGTAGGGTGATCGTTAATCTCAATATTTATTATTTTGATAGCCATTTTTCTGCAAATTTTCGAGAATTTGTTCACAAACTTTTTTAAACATAATTAAACTTTGCTTATTAAGTTTTCTTGAAAGGCTAATTAATAAAAAATATTCTGCTCAAATCTTATCAGCATTTCACTAGAACATAGTTCTAGTGAAAGCTAGACTAGAATTATCAATTCTATTGCTTATTTGTTTAAATTAATTGTTTATTTATTCTTATACTTTAGCAGGCTTTAAATCAGTCGACTAAATTCTTTTAAAAATATACATAAACAAAAATGCTTCCAAACTTTTCCCAAATGGAAATTTCTTAAATAAAATGATTTAATTAAATAATTTCGTGGAAATATTTCTCAATAACATCGATATTATTAAAATAAATAAAAATATTATTATTAAATAAATATATTTTATTGCATCACTCTCCCATTCATTCTCTTCTCACTCTACTCCCTCCCTAAAATAATTTTTTATTATAAAACCATTTAAGTAGAATGAATAAACAATTATTTTTTATTAAATTCATTATTAATTCTTTATTCTCTCTCCTCTCAATTTTAAAATTTTTTATCGATATATTTAAATATTATAGATTTTAATTTTGAAATATTTTTTACTTTTATTTACATTAATCTATTAATTAAAATAAAGCCGCCGAAATTAGCTAAAGAATGAATTAGACTTGCTCCTGATGGTATATAATTCCGCTAATAATTCCCCCTCAACCATCCACCGCCGACGGATCGTTTTCATCGTTGTTTTATTTCCTAGGCTGGAAGGGAACTTTGCCAGCCTTACAATAAATAAAATAAACCAGCCTTACGAACTCTGCCAACCTTACAATAAGCCTTACAATAAATCTAGTTGAAAATATTATTTTTTATTATAATCCAAACTCTATTACATAATTTAAAAATTAAATATCAATTTTAATTTTTATTTTTTTTCATCGAATTCCAACTAAAAAAGAGAAGAGACTATAAAACATTAAATATTTACTTAAACTATAATAATTAATATCATCTCATTTATTATCTCGTGGTTGCCCTTTTCATTTCAAAATAAATATTATTTTAATTTTTCCTTTCTTTTTAAATAATTTAAAGATTTTTTCTCGAAAAATTTTAAAACAATAAAATGAGTGCATTATCTTGTGAATTAGCTTATGCCCTTCAAAATCATCCAAATGCACCCAAAAATGGTGAAACCGTTCTCTTATTAATTAATGATCAAGATGTTAATGAAAGAAATTTAAAGTAAATTTTTAAATAAATTTAAAAAATAATAAATTCCTTTAAAAAGTTCTGATCTACGAAATTTATTCGAAGATAAATTTAATTTGGAGGAAATGGATATTGGAGAGTTGATGAATATATCAGAACGTTTAGATAAAGAAGATAATGACAACGAAGAAGAGAATTTAGAAACACGTTTTGATGCTGCTATTTGCTCTAATTTGTTTATTGGACAAGGAGTAAGCTAAATATTATTATTTTATCATTAAAAAGACATTGTTAGGAAATAATGTAGAGCAAAAATTTTTAAACCAAAAAAGGGGTGTAAAACTAAAAAGATTGAAAACAAAACAATTTTCAAATAAAAATTTTAATCTAAAAATACTTGAATTCTAATTAAAAGGTTGTAAATGACCGCCATCGTATTGCTCAAGTATTAGGATTACTTCTTCGTTTAATACGGACAGATGGAGTTGTAATTATCAGAGAAAACTTAAAGCAATGGGGTTCTCGTTCAATTGCTGATTTAACTAAATTTCTCGATGTTTTTGCTTTTCGAAAACAACAAAATCAAAAACAACAACAAACACTCGGATTTAATTTTTATGGAATGAGTCAAGTACAGGACAGCATTTATGCACATTCTAATTTTCTTGACGTTTTTTGGAGCTTGACAACAGCTATTGAAGTTAGATTATATGATGATAAATTAGCTACTTTCAGGGAATTTTTGGATAAAACACAGGTAATTTTAATAATTTTATTTTAAATTAAATTTGTTGGTAAATTAAAATAAAAGATAGAAAAAAGTGTACTAAATTGAAGTTAATATGTGGAAATAGTGAGGCTAAAATGGGGAGATTTTGATAATGGAAACTTTCATATTATCATTAGGGTTCGGTTATTATTAGGTTAATTATTATTATTAATTATTATTAGGTAAGTTATTATCATTATGTTATGTAGGCTAAATAATAATAGTATTATACCCTTACTCAAACTATAAATAAAACTCTAAACTAAACTATAATTTTATCATCAATAACAAATTGGAATGACGTTCAAATAATTTGTATTATTATTTTTAGTATACTGAAGACAATGTTGCTAGTTATGAGTGGATATTTGGGACAGATTTTATCAGCCCAGGTTTGGCTTATTAAAATTAGTATTTACTTTTAAAATCACAAAAATTAGGTGGAGTAAATGAAAACAGAAGAGTACTCAAATATTTCCGTCATTTACGTCCAGGCCAACAAATGCTTGATATCGGTGTTGGAATTGGTGGAGGAGCTAGACAGGCTGCTAGGGTTTTTATTTTATGTACTTTTAAAAATGAAAATGTTTAAACTGGAATACAAAAATTATTAAAATTGATGTTGAATGAACATAAGCGTTAAGTTCCCCATAAACATGCTTGTCCCCATAAGAATCCCTATAAGTGAGTGATTGAATTACCTTAATAAGGCTCTAGCCCAAACATAGGAACAAGAAATATGAGAATAATTGCTTTTTTTAAATATCCTTTAACACCGAGCTATAAAGAAACTCCAAAAAATTGCTACCTAAATAAGGATGCACGAAAGATTAACTCTTTTTACTATTTCTCCCGGGCTTACAATAGTATGAATGACGTAATCTATGGACATAGTCACACTTAGTTTCTCGTGGATTACACCCCTTATTTGTTAGTGTATAATAAATAATATGATAATCAATTAGCCACACATTTAATATTTTTTTCCAAGGAGTTTGGTCTTCAAGTACTTGGTTGTGATCTTTCTTCAAATATGATTCAACATGCTTTTGATCGTAATCAACGTGATAAAGATCATCGTGTTGAATATCAAATTGCTGATGCTATGGTTTATCGTTATGAAGCTAATGCTTTTGATATTGTATTTAGCAGAGATTGCATTCAACACATTAAAGACACAAAAAGATTATTTAGAAATATTTATGTAAAAGAATATATTCTTTAAAAGACTTTAAAAGTTTCTTTTTTTAAAGACCTGGCTTAAGCCTGGTGGACAAGTACTTGTTACAATGTATGGGAAAGGACATGGAGTTCTTTCTCCAAAATTTCATGAATATGTTCGTAAACGGCAATATGCACTAAAAACTTTGGAAGAATATAGAGAAGTTGGATTAGATTTTGATATTTTCTTTTTAATTTTTAAATATTTGTAGATAGCTCATAGTGTTGGGTTAACAAATATTTACACAGAAAATATGACTAAACGTCTGAGAGAAATTTTAGTAATTGAACGTGATAGAGCAGTTGAAAATAAAGAAGAATTTATTCAAGTTAAAAATTAATTTAACATCAAAAATTAATTTATATAAATTTTTTCAGAAATTTAGTGAAAAACTTTATTCAAAATTAATTGAGGGTTGGGCAGATAAATTACAATTTATTGATGAAGATAATCAAAATTGGTTGTTACTTCGTGCGGAGAAACCGGTGCATCCACATGCTTATTTAACAGAAGCTGGAGCTTAAAACAGATTATTTTAGATGAAAAAAAATAAAGAAAAAATATTTTTTAAAATTTTGTATATCAAATATATTACAGATAAATTTTTAAAAAGATTTAATTAAATAATTAAAGAAGTGTTAAGTCCCCAAAAGCGTTGCTATTTAGACGGGGTCGATCACTTGACTACAGAAAATATTAACAAAAAAATAAGAATTACTCTTTATTATTAAATATTTTTTAAATTAATTATTTGAGGTATTTTATTATAAAAGTATTTCTTCTTCCCCCTCCTCCTCATCTTCACCTTCTTTATTATTTAATGATTCCCTAGAATTATTTTGTAAGACTGACTTTCTTTTATTTAAATAATTTTCTTCATCTTCATCATAATCACTACAAACACCTAAAAAATAAATTTAGAAAATATTTTTTTAAATCAACAATCTCTGTCTACCAGTATCACCCCCTCCACCAACAACAGGAGATCTTTCTTCTCTCCTTTTTACATTTTCTATAAGAGGTAATTCCTCTTCAGTAATATCACAACTTTGTTCCATTTCAATTGTCGAAAGTTCTTGTTGTTGATCTAATATTGTAATCATTGTTGGCTCTATTACGCTCGAAATTGTTGTTTGGTCTAATTCTAATAAAATCCCTCCATTTCCTCCCATTCCCCCTACTCCACTTGAAGTTGTTGGTAAACAACTAGAGCTTGTATATTCACTTAAAAAAAAGGATATATTTTTTTAAAATATGGATTTTTAAATTAATTTAAATAGATTTAATTAATTAACTTTATTATTTTTTAAATTTTAATTTTTATTTACATAGTAATAGAGGATGAAATTGCTGCAGTATTATTGTTGTTAGTTTGAGGAACAAATTTTCGATTTGATTTAACTCTTGGACTGCTCAATACTAATTGATTCTCCAATATACGTCTACATTCTTGAATTCGAATATTTCTCTAAAAAATTAATTTTATTTATTTAAAATTAATTGGGTTCTTTAAATAATGATGTTTTTGGATATTAAATAAATATATTTTTTGTTGGTTAGTTAACTTTTAATTAATTTAATTTACAGTTTCAATTTGTCTTTTCAATTCCATATTTTCTTTTAATAATTGTTGATATCTATGTTGTTCAGCCTGATTAATTGAAGATTCGTGGAAAGTATTTTGTTTTTGATATTGTTGTTCTTCTTCTTCCTCTTCTTTTGTTGAATGTGGATTTCGATAAATAAATAAAAGTTTTGGCCCAAAAATAAGTCCAATACTTACAAATGTACAGACATAAACTATTTAATTTTGAAAATAAATCTTTTAAATTTAATTAATTACCAGTTATGGAAATAAAACAGAAAAAAGGATTGGGTTGGGTTCTGAGGAAGAATACAACAATTGTGCCACAAAGAAGACAAAGAACACCAACATTGCAAACAGAAAGTAGTGTAGACTTTAAAATATTTTAATTTAATCATTTTATATTAACTAATTAAGATCCGAATTAAACATTTTCGGGTACACTTCAACGTACCGCAAGGCCAACGTACCGCAGAGCTATAGCTTTGTTCAAAATGGTCGAATCCGGGACGCCCTGATATGGCTCGATTCAGCTCATCGAGATGCATCGAACCATACCAAGGCGTCCCAGATTTGACTATTTTGAACAAAGTTATAACTCTGCGGTACGTTGGCCTGCTCCCAACATTTTCGTTTAAAGAGATATCAGTTAATAGGAAAAATAACCAAAGAAGGTTTGTTTATTTTTAAAAAATATAACTACATAATACTTAAAAATATTTTAATTATTATATCAACTTACATTCAAATCATTTAAATATCTAACTTTCAAATGTTTAGTATCATAAGCAAGAAAAAGGCCTAATAATAAAAGTAAGCCTTTATATGAGAGAAGTATTGCTTTTAATAAATTAAACTGTTATAATTAATTTATCAATATTTACCAGTCCAAACATCATGATATTGACTTTGACATAAATCAAGTACTGGAAGTAACATAATATCTAATTCTGTCCCAATTGGGGGTTCCTAATATATTTAAATTTAAATATTTAATTTGAATTACTTGAAGGGGAAAATGTATTTGTTGTTGTTGCATTGGATCGAATAAAAACCAAAATAAAGAAACGGCCAAGTCGATTAAACAAATAATTCCAATAATTGGATAGAAATTGGATGGGGGAATTGGCTGGAAATGTTTTTAAAAATATTTTTTTTAATTTTACATCGACAGAAGTTGACCCTCCCCCTCCTCCCCTAAGAATAACTAGCAATTTTTATTTAAAATAATCTAACCAAATTTAATAAATTAACAGACAAAGATGTTTGTAACATAGCTATATTTCTTCTATTTGGGGCCGGTGATTTACTTCCAGCACTTGCTGAAGATAAATTTCCATAAGAATGTTGAGATATTTTCCTTAAAGCATTGGCTACAATAGCCTGTTTATTTGTTATTGCAGTTAATAATGTTCTAATAGAATCCCAGGGAGTAGGGGGAATTTGTTGGGAATTTAATTGAATATTACTACAAGCACCAGCATCTGAGGATTCCTTTAGTAAAAATTAATTAATATTTAATTTTTATTTAAACTTCATTGTTATTATTAGCATTAGCAGCAGTCATTTGTCTATTCTTTTGGATAGAGCCAAGTTTATGTGCAACCCAAACTGTTAAATTATTAAAATGAAATGGAAATTTATTTAATTTTTTTCTACAAATTTTTAATATAGAGGATCCTAAATAGGGTTGCCGTTTTTTTCGGGCCTCATTTTTATCAGGCCGGCCCGACCGAGTCTTTACTGTCCTTTTAACTTGGATACCCGACTCAATCTTTCGGGCCGAACCGGGCCGGCGACCCTCATCCTAAATGTTATAAAATACTTATAGATAAAATACTATATAAAAAAGCCCTAAAGGTTAATAATTCCAAAAGTCTTATCCTTCTATTTAATCTCAAGACAATTTTTAATATTAATTAGGTAAATACCTTTAGCAAAAAGCGAGCCATATGCCAAAGAGAATCCCATCATTAACAATAACAATTTTAACTTCAAAATAATATAAAAAGTATTTAAATTTCAAGAATTCTTTACATGACAAAAAGTACTAAATAAAAACGGAGAAGTTGAATAAATTTTATTTTCTCCTCCTAAAGTAGCTATTTGTCCGATAGAATCATCATTAGCTCCGTCTTGTGGAAATCCAATAGGTGCCAGTGAAAATAAACTTAGGACAGACCCAGCAATTAATAAATTGTTGCATTGTCTTTGTGATTGAATTATTATTCTAAAAAAGATTTTAAAAAGATTTTTTTAAATAAAAATATTTTTAAATTCTGTATCTCTTTACCAAACAATTTTTTTAATTTAATTTAATAAATTCTTTCAAATAAATTAGAAAATTATTTGAAAAATATTTACCGTCTATGTGAGTATCGTTGATTGAAAATAAAAATAGAAATACAAAAAACAATAGCAACAACCATTATATTTACACAAACCAAATATAACTTTTAAATAAATAATTAAATTATCTAAATATTTATTTACTCTATAATCAACTCCAATAGGCCATTGTTTAATCCTTGTTGAATCAGAGGGAGGCCCTTTACTTCCAATAAACTTTTCTTTATTTTTCCATTCTAAAGTTTGGGTACTTGAATCATAATAACCAAGAAGAATATATTTTCCATCTTTTTTAAATTTTAAATTAATTTTTAAAATATTTTTGAAATATTGTCTTTATTAAAATGCAAATATATAAGGGAGAGGATTGTCGAATTAAAATAAATTATAATATTTGGAATTTAAATTTTTTTGAAAAGTTACCAATCCGTGTCCCTACCTCTTATCCCTACCAGATGTGGGTCGTAACATTCAGAGGTGTCGGAAAGAAAGAGCCGGAAATCGCAATTGCCTCAAAAGTCGGAACTCGGAAATCAAAATCTTTTTCGGAACTCAGAAGGAAGAAAACTTCGGAAATCGCAAGTCGGAATTCTGACCCACCTCTAATCCCCACTAATCTCTCTTTTAATTAATTTAGTAATCTAAAATATACTCTGCATTTGTTCAATTTGTGTTCGAGCAATTCTATCTCCCAAATCACTAAACATTACTTGCCCCTTTAAAATTAAAAAAAAAATTTCTAATAAAAATAAAAATTTATTTACAGAAACACCCCTAAATTGTATATTTTTCATGCATTCAAACATTCTTTTAGCAATTAATTTATTTTTATAATTAAATTGTTGAAGTCCTTTCCCGTTAATTAATTTATCCATTGTACAATTTAACATTAAAGCTAGCGCCCTTTAAAAATTATTTTTTAAATTTCTTTTTATTTGAAATTACCAAACAGCATCATATGCTAAAGGTGCTTCAGGCCACCCTCCTGTCTCTTGCGGGTCGGTAATTATTCGACGACGTAAACGTTTTAAAAATTGTGCCCCAGTCATTCCTTTATTAATTGAGAAAACAATATTTTTTAATTAAATTGATAATAGATGAATAATTAAAGTAATTTATATAACCAAAAATAAGTGAATAATCTGATCCCTTTTTTCAAATTTTTTATTGTTAAAATATTTATTTTCTAAAAATATTTTTATTTAATTTCTAACCAGAAATTGTCGGTAAAGTATCTCTACTTAACATAATAGATTCTGTTGTAAAATGATATTGAACAGCCTGTTCCATATTTTTTCTTGTACAATTTAATCCTTCATCTGGATGTGGAATAAACCAAGTATCTGCATACCAACCAATCATAAACCAAACTTTTAAAGAATTTATTAAATAATTATTTTTGTATTACCAAATTTATGTCCATATAGTCCATAATGATAAGCCTTAAATTCTTTTTTAATTTTAAAGAAAAATAAAAATACCTGACAGAGAACTCGACGTGCCTTAAAAATTAATTATTTAAAATTTATTTTAAATAAAAATCCAAACTTCGGTAGCATAAAAAAGTCCAACAATAATTCTAGCATCCTGCCTTCTAATTGCCTTTAAAGCATCTTTTGGATCTTTTTTTAAAAATTATTTTTTTCAATTATTTCCTTTTAAAACCTCCATAAAAACTGTGCCTTTCAACTCTAATCCCCTTTTCTCTACATTGCTCCTCCAAATCTTTAGCTGTCGAATCAAAAACTTCTTCAGCTGATTGTAATATTGTTATTCTTTTCCATTTAAAACGTTCAAATAAATGAACTCTTTTTTTGAAAATAAAAATAAATATTTAAATTTGAATTAAAAATATGTACCTAGTCGGATTTTGCATATTTGCTGAAGGGTGTGTTCTAAAAAGTGTTGGAAAACGTTCTCGATTTGATAAAGCTGGGGATGATGCTCCATAGGATAACTTTTTATTTAATTAATTTTTTAAATTATTAAATTAATTTTACATACAACAAGTAAATTCCAAACATGTGCAGATTCTGCAATCATTGTGGTTACTGGGGAACATCCTGCTAATAAAATTAGTTTTGTTGGGTCATTATAAAGTAATTCAAATAATTGTCGAGCAGCTAAACCAGGAGAACACTTTTTTATGAAAATTAAAATTTCTCTAAATTAATTTTCATATCCATACTTTACTATTATTGTGATGTAATCTAAGTGCATAATTGGGTAATAAACCCAAATCTAGATTCACATCTTCTAATGCCATTTGTACGGCTGGAAGACACGCCTAAAACTTAAAAATAAAGTAAACTCCAACAACAATTATTTTAATTATTTTTCAATAACCCCCAATTATTAAATCTAAAATATTTATTTAAATTCATAACTGTCCTCCAGGCCACCCACCAGACCCAGATTCCATTGGAAAAAATGCTCCAATATGTAATTCTTTAAGTGGAGTTATTACTTTATTTGATAAATTTGGGATAAAATATTGACAAATAAATAGAAAAATAAAAATAATTATTTTCATTTTATTAATTAAAAACTGAAAATAAAAACAAATTTTTAAAAATGATTAAAAATAAATTTGTGTATTTAATAAGATTAAAAATTGTTTTTAGATGAAAATAAATTTATTTTAATTAACAAACAAATTTTGATCTGCAACAACTTTTCCAATAAAAAATAGCCCTATCTTAATGATATTTAAAAGATACTAAATAAGAATAATTTAAATATATAAATTAAAAATGATAAAAATAAATTTATATTTTTATTTGTTGCATTCTTTTATTAAAAATTAAGGAAAAATCTTCTTTTTTTTCTTTTTATTTTTCGAGGTTTTCATTTATGTGTGAAAATTAGTAACTAAAAAATATCAGTTGGGAAAATATTTATTGTTGAAAGAAAAAACAATAGAAAATAAATAACAGATTTTTTTCTCAAAAACTCTTCAAAAGAATTAATAATGAGGAGGACATTTTATTTTAAAGAAGTTTTTTTATTTTTTTATTATCGTTGAAAATTTTTTTTTTGATTTCCAAATAATAATTTAAAAAATAAATTTTAATTAAAAATATTATCAGAAAATTTTGAGTCATAATTATTGAGAAATAAAACCTTAAAAAAGTATAAATACCGTTAAGAAATTAAAAGAGCAAGCATTTTTTTCGGTGTTACTTATAGTCAACGAAACTATTTTAAACTGCCACAATCCTAATATTTATAGAATATTTAAAATTGGAAAAATTTTTGGTACGATTCAACATAGGAAATATGAATAACACCAAAAAATGCTTGCTCTTATTATTTCTTAATCCTAATAATAACGGTATTTATTGATTTATTTGTCGGGATAATAAAGAATATTAATTTAAATAAAATTAAAAAATTTAAAAAATATTTTTTTAATCCAAAATGTTTTTTCATTAAAATATTTTTAACAAACGGAAACAGATGAGCAGCAACTTTTATTTCTAAAAGTTGGATGAAGAGGATATATTTTTTAAAAACCCTCCTCACTTCCCCTATTTTAAGTACACACATCATTTTCTCTTTAAAATAATAGCCATATAAATAAATGATAAACGAGGGGACACAAAAACAAACATTTTTTCGGGGACGGTTTTTGGCACACGCAAACGAGTGAATGTTTAAAAAAGAGAAGTGGATAAATGTTTAAAGCAAGCAACTTATTCCCTCAGGAATGTCCTTCTCCAAAACGGCCAAGTATGTAGAGAGGAGATGTGACGGTTTTTTAAACAAAATAGTGAAACTGACTCAATTTTAGGAGTTAAAGAGGTGGATAAGTAGGGGATTTTGAAAAGGAATAGGGAAGGGGAAAGAAGGGAGAATTAGGCGCTAAAATTTGGTTAGAAAGGGAAGAGAGAAAGGAAATTAGCTTAAATTTAAAGAAGATATGTATTAAATAGATTTTAAAATTATTTTTTAAAAAATAATATTTACTTTTATTTATCAATAAAAGTGCACAGAAATTCTTTTCTCAATTTTTTAATGGAAGCCTTTTTGATTTTATAGTTGAAAGAATTTTATTTTCTCTTAAAATCAATTTCTTTTTTAATGTGTTTTACTTTTAAAACTTTTTTTGTTTTGATAGCTCTATTTTTTAATTAATTGCCAAGTTTATTTAATCACATGGAAGGAAAAATTTTTTTTAATTGTTTTAGCAAGAAATAATTAAAAGAAATATTAAAAAATATTTATTTTAAAAAATATTAATTATTATTTAACTAAATATAAAATAACAATTTAAAGATTTATTTTGCATTTTTCAAAACATTTCTGGACTTTCTTTAAATTCCGCACCACAATAGTCAGGTCCATTTACTGGCTCAGCTCTATAACCTCGTGAAATCATTCTGCAGCGATGTTCTTGTAATCGAGGCCATGCTTCATCGGCACTTTTTGTTTTTTCTGGTGGACTCCAAAGCCTAAAAATAATTTTGATAATTAAAGAAAAACTCAGTAATAAAAAAGAGACGTGATATCGAGATTAAACTTCATTAAAATTAAAAAACACCTTTCAGCCACAGCCGAAGCTCTAGGCCACAATGTTGATTCCAAATTAGTTCCATCAATATATTCACCCCACATTGTAGCTATCCCTCCAATAACTAGCTGTTTTTGTTCATAAGTACCGGGAAAATTGCGAGGATCACAATAATAATATCTTCCCAATCCTTTAGGTGAAAGAGCACGCCAATCAGCGCCATAATTTATTAAATTTAAATACCTAAATTTGGAATTAATATTTAATTGTTAATTAAATAATTAAAATTTAGTAATTAAAAATAAATTTAACTAAAGAAACAACTTACCAACAAGAAGAAACAATTACTTGAAAGCCTTGTTGAACAGCTCTTTTAATATCTCGAGCACGTGCCTGATCATTTTGTGAATACCAATTGTGAACAATAGCACTAACATCCTTTTAATTAAATATATTTAGACTTTAAAAATTATCAAAAAGACTAACAGGTTTATTATTATCAAAAACTTCTTGCCAAAAAATCATTTTCCGTCCACCAACTTGTGTCCCAAAAACTTCTTTAACAATTGCTTGAAGACGGCTAAAGTAATAATTCTCTAATTGAGTCATGTTTTTAAATCCCCTTTCGGCCATAAATTCTCTAATTATTGGATTACGTGCCCTTAAAATAAATAATTAGGTATATACATATAAATTATTTATTTCAGTAAAAAAAGAGGCTATTAGCAATTTTCAATTATATTATTTTAATAAAATTTATTTTAAAAATATACTAGGTTATTTTTAGTGGAAATTTTTTAAAAATAATTTTATTTAAAAAAAATTTTTTGGTTTTTATTAATTTATGTGAAAAAAAAAATTTTTAGTTTGAAAGACAACAAAAGCTTTAATTAAATACAAATCTTTATTTCAATATTTTCTAAATTAATTTAGATATTCCATCCATAATATTATAATCAAAAAATTAACATACCAACATTGAATTGTCCAATAAGCAGTCTCATCTCCACCCAAATGAATATATTTATCACGAAAAGTTTCATCAATTTCTAATACAAACATACATATATTTTTTTTTATTTTAATAAAAACTGCTAACCTTTTAAAAATTCTTTTAAAAATATATATGTCGATTCTTTACTTGGGTCAAGCATACTTGATGTAACTAATCTATTCTTTTTATCATAACAATCAGCTAAAATTCCAGAACCTCGCCAAGAAGCCATATGTCCCAAAAAATTTTTGAAAAATTTTTTTTATTTAAAATAATATTTTTAATTATTTTTTCAATAATTATTCCCTTCGTACTACAAGAAATTAACTCAAAAAATTTATATTCCTAATAAGTGTTTGTTTCCATTTAATTATCTAACCTGGAGTATCAAATTCAGGGATTACTCGAACACCACGCAAACGTGCATGTTGAAGAATTTCATCAACAACATTTGGCGAATAAATATGTTTTGAAGTAAAAGCCCCCTTTTTAATTAAAAAAATATTTTTAAACGAAGAATTAATTACTTCTTTTGAAATATTAGGGAATCTAGTAGACACAAAAGGGAAGGATCTTTAAAAATAATTAATTTAATTTTCAAAAAAAAAATCCTCTCAACTCCATATCAACAATATGCCAATGTAAAACATTCATTTTATTTTGAGAGGCCAAATCAATTTGTCTCAAAATAATATTTTTATTTAAATAATGACGGGAAGTATCTAGCAAAATTCCTCTAACAGAATATTCTGGCCAATCATGGACAGTAATTGTGCGGATATATAACTAGATTTAAATTATTTATTTTTAATTATTCTTCACAAATTACTTGTCCTTGTTTTACAAAAAATAATTGACTAAAAGTTTCAATTCCTCTAAGTACTCCCCATATCTCATTTGCTTCAAGTAATATTTCTCCATTTAAAGGAACCATTAATTTATCTAATATTTTAAATTAAATTTTTAATTTCAAAAGAATTTCTTCACATTCTTCATTCATATCACTTGGAGGGAATTGCTGACGTCCAGGACAACGTTTCTTTACTTTAATAACCACTTGTAAAGGTGTTCCCTTTCCTGCACGTACTTCTTCCAATGCAGGGAAGACAAGCAATTTATTTACTTTTAAATTTATTTTTAAATTTAAATATTAATTTAAATTTATATTTACAATATAAACTCTTCGCCTTTTCAAGAATATCACATTCTCTGTTTTCGCCTCCAAATGTTGAATTAATAAATATTAAAGGAATTAATCCCTGTCTCCCTACAGTTCTGTTATATTCTCCATAATGAAATTTTTGAGGAAGCGGCCATAATGTTCCTGCCTATTTTTTTAAATAATTTTATTTTAATTAATTTATTTTTTAACTTACTTGAATGCTAATTGGGGAGGAAGGAGGGAAATCATCTGCTGTTTCTCCACCAAAATTAGTTGCGGGCTTATCATTTCCTTTATTTTTTTAATTTTAAAAATTTGATTATTTCAAACCATTAATTGGAGAATTTTCTTTTAGATTGGGTTTTGATTGACATTTTTCGGATGTTAAAGAATCATCAGAATTTACAAAAATTAAAACAAAAAAATATAAATAATTAAAGAATATAAAAGAATTATTAAAAGATAAAAAGGTAATAAACATTAAAAATTAATTTCTAAAAAATAATTATTAAATTATTAGAAGACTAGAAAATCAGAAATATTTTCTTTTATTTTTTTTTAATTATTTAAATTTATTTTTTTTATAAAGAATAAAACTTATTAATTATTATTATTTTTTAAAGATCAATTTACTTGATCATTAATAAATAAAAGAAAAATATTTTAAATAAAGTAAAACCAAATGACATTATAAGCCAGCAATCTTAACACATTGATTATAATCGATGAAATAAAAACAGGAGCTTAATTTATTAGAGAACTAATTTTCTTTATTAAAAAGGGAAAAATAAGAAATAATATTTTTTTGTAATATTTTTAAAAAGGAAAAGAAAATAATTTTTAAATAAACTTATTAAAAGATGGAATTAAAAATAATTAAAAACAATAATGCAAATTAACAAAATTAACAATTTAAACAAAAATAAATACATACCTCGTAATTTATTCATTTTTTTTTGTAAATTTTGATTTCCCTCTATTAAGCACTTTCCTATTCTTAAACCTGTACATCTTTTTTGCTTTAATTCAAATTTTTATTTTTTTATCTTTTAAAGCCATACATACATATTCTCTAGAGATTTAATTCTTTTAATTCGATTACCTTTTACTTTTATCTTTAACTGAAATCACTTTCCAGTTTGTATGCTTAGGCTTTTTTTAATTATTATTGTTTTAAGAATTAAAATGAAACCCCAAATAAATAATCAAAAACAACGTAATTCAAAATTAAATAAAAATAGTGATTCTATTGCTTTAAAACAAACTTTCCAAAAGGTGAAGAAATAAATTATAATTAATTGTTTAAATAAATCTAATGATTCGAAGTTTGCCATAGTAATTTGTATTTCAATTTACTTGTATTTTAACATTTTTATTTGGTAAAAAAAATTATAATAATTGGAAAATTATACAAAATAAATAATATTTAATAATTATTATTTATTTATTTTAATTTAAATTTATACAATATTTTATACATAATTTACTTCAGCTTCGTCAATTAGTACCATGCTATCCATTAGAGCGCCGGGTAAGCAAATTAGAAGTTCTTCGATCAGCAATTCGTTACATCTCAATTCTTGAATATTCTCTTGGACAGCGATCTGTGCCAATTGGGTGTAAAATAATAAAAATTTGTAAGATTCATTGAGGAAATACCAAAACATGCAAAAGATTTACAAAATTTATTTTTAAATACATTTACTTTGTTGAAATTTAAAAAAAATGTTTTTTAATAGTAAAATAATTATTAATTTTATTTTTTATTAATTTCAAAAATTTTTCCTTTTTTAAATTAAAATATTAATTTGGCTTTAATTCTTTTTATCGGAGGATATAATCTTTAAAAAAATTAAGAGATCTTATATTATTTTTTATAAAATATTTAAAGTGTTGGTCACGGAATGTAAATGATCCTATTAAAAAATGAAGAGATTAAAAAATAAAAAATAAATTAACGTTAAAATAATTGAAAGGAAAGAGTATTCCTTTTTCCCCCTTTTAATTCAAATGAATTTTTAAAAATTTAATTAATTAAAATGATTTATTTAATTATTTTATTTATTTTTAAAAATATTATCAATATTGAAACAATTGAGGAATACAAAAATTTTAAAATTTCTCAGGTAAAATTATTCTTTTTTGGTTAATTTGGAAATTTTAAGAATTTTTGGCGAAATAAAAATTCTTTTAAAAATTTTGGAGAATATTCTTTGCCTTCAACAATTGATAGTCTACAAAAGGAAAAATTGAAAGAACAAAAAGATGGATTTACTAAAAATTTAAATTTAAAAAGAATTTTTGATTTTTCGAAGGCTTATTGGTTAAAATTAATTTAAAAAAATGAATTTAGAAAAAATATTTATTTTTTAGTGAATCATTTAATGTAGATATCCATCCAGATGAATATCCACAACCTAAACGTAATGAATCTGTAATAGAAAATATTTGTGGAGTTAAAGTTTAGCTTTAAATTTAATAAAAATATTTAAATAAAAAATATTTTTTAAAGGTTTCTGACCCTTATCGTTGGATGGAGAATCCAAATTTGGAAGAAACAAAACAATTTATCTATGCTTTAAATAATCAATCCCGTCCTTTTCTTGAAAAATCTTTTTTTCGAGAAAAATTTAGAAAAAAGTAAAAATAATTATTTTTAAAAATTAATTTATAAAATAAAAATAAAAACGATATTTAATTATCTAAATAATTTTAAAAAAGAGATCGTGTTTAAAAAAATTAACGAACTTGCCCCATAAATTTAATGTACATTTTTTAAGATATCTAATGAGATTAATTTATAAAAGTAGATACTTTTAAATTCTTGAAAATCTCAAAAAAATAAGTTTAAACTAAAAATCAAAGACTGTCAACACGATCTCTAAAAATAGGTTTACTCAATATGACAGGATGATGCAGTTATTTGACCAAAAAAGTTATGGATGTATTTCTAAACATGGAGATTATTATTATTATGCTTACAGTGAAGGAAATCAAAAACAAAGGTAAAAAATAAATTTAAAGTTTTTGAAAAATAATAAAAATTATTTTATTAAAAAAATTTTTTTAATAAAATAAAATAAAAATTATTGAAAAAATCCTAATTGAAAAAAACACTAAACCTTCTGGTTTGTTTGATCCTAAATTTCCGGTTCTAAAAAATTATTTATTGATCAACTATTTTATTTGACTAATTTTTCGAATATTATATAATATGACATAGCCTTGAGTTTAATATTTTGCAAGTGTTTAAATATGTATAACATCAAATTTAGCAGTAGCTATTTCTCCGTTTTTTAATTAAAATAATTGTTTACTTATTTAGAAAATTATTTTTTTCAAATTTGAATATTTAGTTCAATTTATCGCCAAAAAACTCTAAACGATACAAAACAATTATTTCTTGATCCAAATAAACTTTCTTCAGACGGAACTTTAGCTATTTCACAAACTGCTTTTAGTAGAGATGGTTTAGTTATGGCTTACACTATTTCTGAAAAAGGAAGTGATTTAACAACAATTTATGTGAATATAAATTAAAATAAAAAAATAATAATTTTTATTCAAGTTTAAAGATGTAAATGGACAAGATTTGCCTGATAAAATTCCAAAAGTTAAGCAAGGCTCTTTATCATGGATGCCGAATAATAAAGGAATATTTTATTCTGTAATTTATTTCAAAAATTAATTAAAAATATTTATTTAATTTAAAAGAAATATATGCAAACAAAGAAACATTCAACAAATGAATCAACAATTACAAAAAAAGATGAATACCACACACTTTTTTATTATCCTTTAGGCTCTAAACAGGATATTCTTATTGCTGATTTTAGAGAACTTGATGATCCAAATTTAAATATGTTTGATAATTTTATTATGTTTTTTTATTAATAGTTATTTTTAAAAAATAATGAAAAATCTAATTTGAAAGTTTCTTTAATTATTTTTAGTGTTGGTTCAGTTTCACGTGATGGACGCTTTCTTTTTGTTTATGTTTATGATAGAGGTAATTTTTAAAATAATTTGATATAATTTTTATTAAATCCAAAATCATCAAAATTCCTAATCTTTCCTTGTTTTTCACAAACTTTTAGTAATATCTTAACAAATAATTATTTTTAATTTAATTAAAAGATAATGCAAATACAATTTATTATTTGGATTTAAATTCAATTAATTTTAAAATTCATTGTCGACCTCCACTTACCCTTTTAATTCACGACACTCGAGCCTTCTTTGTGGTTAATTTTAAGTTTTTTTTAATTTAATTTAAAATATTTTTTTAAGATACTTGATTATGATCATGAAACAGAATCTGCTATAGGTGCTTATTTTAAAATTAATTTTAATTTCATTCCTTAACTTTCTCTTTGTTTAAAACTACATAGACACTTATGTAAAATCCTTCTTGTGTATTTTTGCCTTACTTTCTTTCAAACAAATTTATTCCAATAAAAAATATCAACAAATAAATTCTAATATAAATAAATTTTTAAATTTAAATTTAAAGTTTTAACTGATCATTCTGCTCCAAACAGAAAACTTATTCGAATTAAAATAACTACAGCAATGCTTGGATGTGCCCATTGGGAGACTTTAATCCCTGAAGACCCAAAAAGAGCATTAGAATCTGTTGTTCCAGTTGCTGGGGATAAATTAATGGTTATTTATATTGAAGATGTTAAAGTAATTTGGAATTATTTTTAAATAATTATTGTTTAAAGACATTTTTATATGTTCATTGCTACAAAACAGGAAAACTTCTTTATAAGTAAATACATATTTTTATTTAAAATTAATTTATTTATTAAAAAAGAATTCCTCTTGGAATTGGAACTGTCAGTCAATGTTATGGAGATAGAGAGGATACTGAAGCTTTTTTTAGTTTTAATTCATTTCTTGAAGCACCAACAATTTACCGAGCTGATTTTTCTTTAGTAGCTAAAACATCTCTTTTACAATTAGAACAAGTAAATATTTAAATTTAATATTTTAAATTGGCCAATTTTGAACTTTACTTTAAGTTAAATTAAAGAGAAGCTGTTAAAATTGTTTTTATTTAATGTAGATTCGTCATAGGAATGAATGGCGAGGGGTTAATGTCACTGGACTTGAAGTTAAACAAGAATTTTATCGAAGCAAAGATGGCACTAAAGCTATTTTTGAAAAATATTTTTAAAATTAATTATTATTTAGATTCCAATATTTATAATTGCAAGAAAGGATGTTAAAAGAAACGGACAAAATCCAACATTACTTTATGGCTATGGAGGCTTTAAGTATAAATTTAAAAAAGAAATTTTTTTAATTTTTTAATATAAATTTTGCAGTATTCCAGTTTTGCCAAGTTATTCTTCCCACAGAAATATTTTTGTTAAAGTAAAATAAACAAGATTTTAAATTTATTTTTAAAGCATTTTCATGGAATTGTTGCAATAGCAAATATTCGTGGAGGTGGTGAATATGGAGAACATTGGCATGAATGTGGGGCTAGAGAACATAAACAAAATGTTTTTGATGATTTTATATCTGCTGCAGAATTTTTAATTAAAAATAAATTTACTAGTCCAAAAAAGTTGGCAATACAAGGAGGGTCAAATGGGGGACTTTTAGTTGCTGCTTGTTCACATCAAAGACCTGAACTTTTTGGAGCTGTTATTAATCAAGTTGGGTAAGAAATTAAAACAATAAAAATATAAAATTAACATTCGGAATTCCCAATTAAATATTTTAAAGAGTAATGGATATGCTCCGTTTCCATAAATTTACTGTAGGCAGTTTTTGGATTAGTGAATATGGCGATCCTGAGAAGTCAAGTGAATTTGAATATATTTTTAGGTTTATTAGAATAATTCTTAAAAATAGTAAAATAATTAATTTTATGTATGTAGATATTCACCTCTACACAATATTCGGTTACCTCGAGGGGTTCAATGGCCTGCAACTCTTTTAATGTAAATTATTTGTTAAATATTAATTTTTTTGAGTAAAAAATATCAAAAATTATAATAATGAATCAACGAATACTCTACCAAAAGTGTTTATTTTAAAAATCTCAAAACTATATTTAGAACAGGAGACCACGATGACAGAGTAGTCCCCAGCCATACATTAAAATATGCAGCACAATTATATCATTATTTAAAAAGATCAGAAATAAAATTAATTCAACGTAACCCTATTTTGGTAAATATAGAGACAAATACAGGACATGGAGCTGGAAAACCAAGAGATAAAATTGTAAAGATTTATATTTAAATTTAAATAATATTTTAAAAAAAAAAGATTGAGGAATTGGTTGATATTATAAGTTTTTTACAAAGAGTTCTTCAATTAAAATGGTATGAAGAGTGATAAATAAAGGATATTTTTTAATATTTTTTTTAATTTAAAACATTTTTAATTGATATTTTGAAATTATTTAAATGTTTATATTTTTAATAAAATATGTACGTACAATTAATTACTACTAGTTTCACTTATGGAGGTAAATAACAGCTCGTCCTCAACATGCCTGCAAATGACTTTCTGCAGATATACATTTTTGCTGCATTGTTCTCCTTTCCTCACTCTACCATAATTTTCCTTAAGTAATCAACTAACAGTTTGGCGCGAATAATAAAGTTTAATTATAAAATCCACATTGCATTATAAGTCTGGCCAAATCACTAATTTTAAAAAAATTCGTAACCTCGCCAAAAGAGCAAAAAAACTTAACCAAACGCTCCTCTAAATTTTTAGGATTTTTTAACTTTAGACCTACAAAAATACAAGATTTGAAAAAAATCGGGTGAGCTACTAATAAGAGAGAGTTCTCCTCATTAACACTCAAACTCTACGATGAAATCAGCACTCAAACGGCTATTAATAATTGGATGGCACTGAAACAACCGCAAATAAAGTGAAAAAGAAGTGTTGTCTCTCTTAAAAATAACACGCTATTTTTCTTCGTCTTATTTTTTTAAAAACTTTAAATTTATTCTAAAACTTCGCGTTATTTCTGTGGGAAATGAGTTGAATTGTGGTCCGTTGAAAAATTAATTTAAAAATATTGCGAAAACATTAACTAGGGTAACTTTTGGCGCCGATTACGAATCTGAATTCAGATTTTGATTTTATCTTTGATTTTTTTATCAAGTACTTGATTATCATGTACAAGCATTTATCAAGTACAATAATGGTGTTCAAAAGAGCTCTCAAAGCTGAAACAAACTAGAGGCGAACGAAGTCGGTCCGGTACCCAAGGACTGAGATATCCTAAAATGAGCATAATCCATCTATGGGTTTTCAAATTTTTTGGCCTATAACTCAGTCAAAGCGAGTCAGATTGCGTTAATTTTGGTGCCATTCGACAAAGCTCGAAGAGCTCTTTCTAATGAGCTATAATTTGATTATTCGAATTTTTGACCCCAAAAAGAACAAGTTCCTCCCTATAGTTTTTGGATTTTCAAGTGACCATATCTCGGTCCTTGTGTACCGGACTGACTTCGTTCGCCCCTAGTTCGTCTCAACTTTCAGAGCTCTCTTGAACGACACCATTCTTGTACTTGATAAATGCTTTTGCTTGATAATCAAGTACCTAATAAAAAAAATCATAGATAAAATCAAGTGTTAGATAAAATATGGGTTCAGATTCGTAAGCGGCGCCAAAAGTTACCCTATAAAATGTTTTCGCAATATTTTTTAATTTTTCAACGGGACCACAATTCGACACATTTGCCGTTTTTGTGAATGTTTTGTTTACTTTTTTAATTATTAGCTTTAGAACATCTTTAAAACAATTCTTCTTTAAAATGTCTACTTTTCAACCGAGGAAGGCGACGAGTATAATACAGGATGCTGAAAGAGAACTTGAGTTGGCTCAGGTTAGTTTGAATTATTCCACTCGAATTGCTAAAAGTTATTTTCTGGCCTAGCCAAAATCTTTTGGTTTTCTTCTAGTTTACTGGTCCCTAGAAAAAACGATTTTTCGATATTTTTGAGGTTTGCTTTTAGGTAATTGGGTATGCTGACAATGAATTCGAAACTTGGGACCTGTGGGACCAGTACCTTTCTGGCGTTGGACTTACATTAATATATTGTTTGTTCATGGTTACAGGCTTATTGCCTTTGTTGTTAACTTACGTATCGTAGCTTCCAAGGGAATATTCACCCGATAATCCTTTTACTGGTTCCTAAAATATTAGGAAAGAGTGCTCTTTCGATATTTTTTAGGTTAACTGGTAGGTATTCGAGTGTGCTGACTCGGCACTGTTGATGAGTCCAAATCCTAACCTAGAATTTGTTCATTTCGAACACGAATTCGACCAAGTCGAATTTGCGATAAGAATTCGAAATTATGAGGCTATGACTATTCCTCAAACGTATCATGTTTCATCAACCTTAGACTATCAATAAGACCCCCCCCCCCCGAAATTATTCCACTCGAATTGCTAAAAGTTATTTTCTGGCCTAGCCAAAATCTTTTGGTTTTCTTCTAGTTTACTGGTCCCTAGAAAAAACGATTTTTCGATATTTTTGAGGTTTGCTTTTAGGTAATTGGGTATGCTGACAATGAATTCGAAACTTGGGACCTGTGGGACCAGTACCTTTCTGGCGTTGGACTTACATTAATATATTGTTTGTTCATGGTTACAGGCTTATTGCCTTTGTTGTTAACTTACGTATCGTAGCTTCCAAGGGAATATTCACCCGATAATCCTTTTACTGGTTCCTAAAATATTAGGAAAGAGTGCTCTTTCGATATTTTTTAGGTTAACTGGTAGGTATTCGAGTGTGCTGACTCGGCACTGTTGATGAGTCCAAATCCTAACCTAGAATTTGTTCATTTCGAACACGAATTCGACCAAGTCGAATTTGCGATAAGAATTCGAAATTATGAGGCTATGACTATTCCTCAAACGTATCATGTTTCATCAACCTTAGACTATCAATAAGACCCCCCCCCCGAAAGCCACACTCTGGATACGCCTTTGTTATCTTCTCTAAATATTAAATTAATAAAAGATCTGCTTAAATTATTTAATTTTTTCACTTTTAGCTTCAAGTTGGATCTACTTTGCTTGCTGAGAAGAAACAACCTGGTACTATTGATGTTGGACGTGGTCAAAAAGTCGTCACTAATGTATTTTTTCTTAATATTTTGTTTAAATTCAAAAAATTTTAGGTCTATCTCCTTGAAATGTCAAAAACAAAAGATTTATTTCGTTATGAGGTGAATGTTTCTGGAGTTAGACAACGTGAATCGAATTTAACTACTCGATCTTCATCAGAGTATTTTTTAATATAATTATTTTCTTGAGATCACTAGTTTTTTTAAACTCCTCTAATACTCTAAAAGCAAGATTATCTATTAATATGCTCTTGGTCTTGTTTAATCTTATTTCTTTAGAGATAGGAAATTTAAAAACCGTGATTCTTGTTTTTGTTTGGTCACCCTGACCAGATCCTTGTCTTGACTCTGAATCCAAAAAAAGTCAGGGTATCCAGATCCAAGCCGATCTCTAATTTTCTTTTATATTTTTGAATGTTAAATTTTCTTTTTCAGCTATCGTAACGCTTTGCGTCGTCTTCAATGCTATTCTGTTTTGAGAGCTTTTAAGATTAAGCATGCTTCGTTTTTATCAACGGAACGTCTTTATTATGATTGTGGGAGTTTTCTCATTTCAACCTTTGATTTGAAAGTTCCAGTTGTAAGTTTTATTTTCAATTTAAGATGGGATTTCGTCGAAGGGGATTTTCTGGGAAATTGGTCACTGAAACTTTGTGCTGGAATCCGGCCGGATCCAGTTCGCTCTTGTTATAATCCCGATCGAGTCCAAACCCCCTGGCTACACCCTTGTTATATATGCTCTTTATTACTTTTAGTTTTAGAAATTTAATCGGATTTTTTTTTCTTATTTTATTTAATATAATTTTCTCAGCTTGGAATTGAGGAGTTGTACACGTTGGAGCAGATTAAACAACATTCTCCTCATTTCTTTGATAATGGCTTTGACTCATTCAAACTTAAAATTCTTCCGGTTCATGATACTAAGAAATTGCTCAATCTGTCTGATTTTTCTTATGTCACCAACGATGCAGAGAAGATTGATCGTACAACTCAGCAGTTTTTGGATATTGCAACATCTCAGGACGTCTTTGATGATCCGTAAGTTTCGATTATATAATTATGATTTTATAACAAATATGTTTTCCAACAAAAAACATAATAAGAATTGCTTATAAAGAATTTTTAATCTTAAAAATCACCCAATTTTTCCACAGATTTGAAACACTTTTCGTTATAGCACCTCTTAATTCTATTCCTGTTACGCCTCTGTGGTTGTATCTTGAAAAATTTAAAACCTAAAAATATGTACAGATTAACTTTAAGACTCTTTAGCTTATTCTTCATTCATTTTATTTATTTTTTTTTCAGTTCACTTTACATTCACTTCTCAGCTTCTGATTTTTATTTGCTCAATCCCAGCTCTTTTGGGTTTACTGATCTGGATTGTCCTGTTTTTTCAAGTAATGGTTCGTTTCTTGGGATTGGAATGCGTAAGGGCATTCGCACTGTTGAAAATGCTTCTAATGAGAATCAAATGAGTGAAGCAATTGTTGCATCAGTAAAGAAGGTTTATTTAATTGTCTTTATTTTTACAGTTTTTTTATTTTTTAAGACACCTTTTCATTGCGTGCAAATGGTTTCAGAGAAACTTAAGTTGCATGAGACTCAATTCGCTTCTCGTATGAGGGACACGGACTGGATTAGGGAACGTATGGAAGACTCTCTCCGAGGTATTTTGTTTGACTTGAATTTTTTAAAATATATAAATATTCAATAATATTGGGTTACGAATTTTACTTGCAACTTTCCGTGGAAATTTGTTTTTAGCCTATATTTTTTTGCTTCGGTTATGTATGTAATTCTAACGAGGCCCTTATTTGATTTAACATTTTCCCCGATTTTATGGGTGTTGCATGCCTCCACCCCTACTGGAACTCTAATTATTTTTCTAATTTTATTCTTATGTTAGGGCTTTTTGTTGCGACTAATCATTCTGAAAAACGTCGGATTTTTGAAATTTATGGATTGTCTTCAACTAATCTTCACACTGAGTTTATTCAACGTGAAGGAAATACAAGAATTTCTCTTTTTGAATATTACACTCAACAATATGCAATTGATTTTGAGTTTGTTTTATCTTTTTTACAAATAATATTTGACTGTATGGAATGAAAAGTGGAATTAAATTTTTCATCACTTTATATTTTATCCACACCTGTAAACGAAGAATTCCCTCCCCCTGGTTACGAGCCTGATCCCGCATTGGGGAAAGAAAAGTATAAGGTAATGAAAAATTGCGTTCCCGCTCTTCATTTGATATATAGTAGCGAATATTTGATTTTTAGATTTCCTGAATGGCCTCTTCTTATTAATAAATACTCAATTGGGCCAAATAATTATGGTTTCCGTTACTTTCCAATGGAAGTGTGTTCTATTCTGGACAATCAACGAGTTAATTCAGATCAACAGGATGGGCAGATGATTGGAGTATGTTTTTGTTTATTCTTCCACAATTTTCTTATTACTATAACTAGGAAATGATTCGTAAAACAGCAATTCCGCCTGCTGAATTAAAGAAACAAAATGCTCTTTTGAAGAATTCTCTTCGACTTGATGTCAGTGAATATTTGAATGGTCTGGGAATCAAATGCCAAAAGGATCCAATTGAAGTTACTTCTCGTGTTTTATCTCCACCGGAACTTGAGTTTGCATCAAGGGCTAAACAAGTTCCAAAACTTCCTCGTTGTTCATGGGGTGATTGTAATGAATATTTTTTTCCTGCAACGTGTCATAAGTGGGTTGCTTTGGCTCTTTTTGGTACACAACAGGATGCTATCAATATGGAACAGTGGACGTAAATTTCATATTTAATTTTTTTGTTATTTTTAAAAATTTACAGTGAATTTGTGAAGCGATTTCGTTCCGTCCTTTCAAAAAGTCAAATGAACTTTGCTGAGCCTCAGATTCTTGTTCGCCAAGTTACTGGTGCAGATCTGAAATTAATCATTCAGGGGTACTATGAACAAGGTTTTGAGTATATGTTGATTGCTCATCCGGATGGGGCAGATCAAGTTCATCGTTAGTTTTTAATTTATTTTAGTATTTTTTATATTTTCTTCAAAGATGCCATGAAGTATATCGAGCAAAAGACCGAAGTCGTCACACAGGGTGTTAAGATGTCGACTGTTAAGAACGTTATCTTCAAAGATCGGTTCCAAACATTGGCAAACATCGTCCACAAGACTAATGTAAAGATGGGAGGAATCAATTATACTATTTCTATCTCTCCACAATCTGAGTGAGTATACTAACAATAAATATATTTAAATTACAATTATTTTTACAGTTTACTCCCAATTTTTGGGGATAGTACTTTAATTGTTGGCATTGGTTCAAACCATCCAGGTGGAGGGTTAGCCATGAGACCTGGAGTTGTGCAACCAACTGCTCTGGGTACAGAAAGTGACAAAAATGGAAACGGTAAGAATGGAAATGGAGCTAATGGGAATAGTAATGAACATGTACAACGCATAACTGTGCCATCTGTTGTTGGAGTATGTTTTTAGTTTTAGTCTTCATATTTTTAACATTTTAAGTTTTCTGCGAATATTGGGAAGAATAATCATTTTGAGTTTGTTGGTGACTATTGTTATCAGGTTAATTACTATTTTTATTTGAAAATGGTACTCTTGTGTTGGCTCTCGGACAATGCGTCAGAGAACATAAAGTGTAATTTGAAGGGATTAAGATGGATATCGATGGATTTATAGGGGTTTAAGAGGTTATGGGAATTAATCCAAAAGAGAAATTATAAATGCAGCATGAGAAGAAAAGGAAAAAGTAGCCATAGAAAATATAGACGTATAACACAAGAGTACCTAAAATTTTAAGCATTTGATCTTTTATCATTTTTGCGCAAAATTCATTAATTTTTTGGCTTAATAGACTACATTTTTCATGTTTTATATTTTTAGGAAGCTAATCGTGATGAGAAAGTTAGCATTATTGCGAATATCATCAAACGTTGTATAGTACAATTTGAAAAGTTTAACAACCGCTTTCCGTGAGTTTTATAAAATTAATTTAAAACCTGTATGTCTCTATAGGACTCGTCTTATTCTTTATCGCGATGGGAGTGGGGAAGGATCTTTTCAAAAGATTTTGAAATATGAAGTGCCACTTATCCAGAATGCATTCAATGAGCATGGAATTTCGGCAAAGATTACTTTGATTGTGGTCAACAAAATGCAGGTTCTTGAATTTATATCCTTTGTAGTATTTTTTAATCCAGTTTGTTCGACTTTACGCCAAAAATATTAATGAGCATGCAAAATCTCCTGAACAGAATATTTTGCCAGGCACTGTTGTTGACAAGGATATCGTTCATCCACTTTGGACTGAATTTTATCTCAACTCTCATGTTGCCCTTCAGGTTATTTAATTTTGGATTATTTTTAGAAAAATATTAATAACTTGTTACTTGTCGGGACGCATTGTTAAGACTCTCCGTAAAGACAAGCTATCATTTCTATTTTCGAATTTTAAAGATGAGTACAGCCCTGACAAAATCAATTAAATTTATAGGGTACTTCGAAAACTCCTCGATATAATGTTCTTTTGGATGAGAACAATTTTTCCATGGACACTCTTCAGTTGATGACACACAGTTTGTGCTTTGGGCATCAAATTGTTTACAGTCCAACGTCTCTGCCAACGCCTGTGATGGTTGCACTTGAATATGTTTGTTTCAGTTTATTTTTTGTACCTTTCTATTAGGGTTGGACGAGATCGTTTAATTCGAGGTTTATTTTTCCCTGTGCCTGACTTTTCCCTTCTCTTTTTGATCAGCCGCAGGGAACAATAAACGAGGTTATTAAACGGTCTCGTCCAACCCTACTTTCTATTCGCAAAACTTTGGGAACAACTATTTTTCCATTTTTCTTAACTCAACTTTCTTTTAAAATAACAATAAGGCAACTAATAATCTTTAAGGCTAAGCGTGGACGAAACAATTACAATTATTGGAGTAATTCTGGCTCTGGTGGTAATCTCAATGGTGGTAATAATGGCGCTAATTTGCAAGATCACAAGCAACTTACAGAAACTCTTTCCTATGAGAAATCCGTTTTTTTGAAACATATGCGCGTTAATGCTTAAAAAATTTTGCTTATTTAATTATACTCTATTTAAAATTTCACTCTTTATTTAAAAATTAGCTGATATTTTATCAAAACCTCTATATTACAATCGAATCTCTTTAACACAAAGCCTCTCGGATCCAAATTACCTGACATGAAGGAACGTCATATGTGGGGAATTTTATTTAGGTATATTCGAATAAATATTTTATTTGGGTAAATGTTAGGGAGATTCGATTATTATTTTATTGTTAATTTATGATTGCTATTCATTGATTTTCCCTTAACTTTACCTTAAAATTTGCTCAAATTTGTTATATTTATTGTTAATTTACTTTTATTTATTGAAAGATTTAAATTTAAAATATTCGAATAAATATTTTATTTTGGTAAAAGTGTTTAAAAATTGTGGTTTAATGACGATTATTTTAAATTCTTACATTCTGAATTAGTTAATTGGTTTTTATAACGTACGCTTTTTATAACACAGCATCTAAACCTTTCTGTTCCTTCCAAAACTGCAATTGGTTACTAAGCAGAATCAATTTCAGCAGAAATCAACTCGAATACTTCATTGACAAACCCTAGAAAAAAAGAACACTATTGGATCCAAATCCCCTAATATCCCCCATAAAACAAATATCCTTCCTTATCCCACTGATGTCCCTTAAACCCCCCTTGTCAATCCAAAACCTCTTTTATCGACAGATCTACTGCCGGATTCGTAGCAAATGATCTTAGAAAAATACAATTTTTAATTTGTTTATCTCCATTTTAAAAATTGTGTAAATTGCGGGGATTTTTGCAATTGCGGATTGCGTTTGCGGTTTTTAGAAAGAAATTGCGAGTTGCGTATTGCAGTATGTCCACGACGTTTTGTCCGTCCATTGACCGATTGTCCACCGACCATTAATCCACTGACGCATTGTCTGAACGCGTTCACGTTTTGTTAAAATTTTGAATTACTTACAATTAGTATTTATAATTTTAGTATGAAAGTATTATTTTTTGATTTATGTAAATTGATTATTTTCGGTTTAATTGTTTTTTTTATAATAATTTATAAATTAATTTTTAATTTAGCACAGAATCCGGCATGCAGCCGGATTCTGAAAATCTTATTTTGCAAAATTCTAATATTTTAATTCCTTCAAAATTTTCAAAAGGACATGTTGACACTACTGAAGAGGACGAGAAATTGCAATTTCTGATGCAAAATCATGTATGTCTATGTTTGTTTTGAGGTAATGCATATTTACCTTATTTTCAAGCATGAGCTCTGTGACCTTAGTAAATGTATGGGGAAACGTATTAATGGACTTTTCATCTGTCAGGTACTTTTCTAATTTGTCGATTTGTAAATTCACTAATTTAATTTTTATGTTTTTTCAGTTCTCAAACATTCCTGGCTCCCAATATAGTCAATATCTCCGCCATCGACGTCGCCAAAATGCTTACAAGACAAAACCTTGTCGCAATTATTATGGTAATGGTTTCTGCAAGGCGGGCAATGAATGTTCATTTTATCATGCTATTGGTGAAATGCGCACACTGCCACAAATGGAAATGTCTGACGAACTGAAGTGGCATCCAATTGACATTAAAGACTTCTTCCCTCAGGTTAAATAATCTAAAACTAATAAATAGACAAAATTCTTATTCCAAAAATTCGAATTTCTATGACTTTAATAGCTATGGGCGAAAAAATTCACTTTTTAATCATCTCCCTCGCAATTTTTTTCATTCCCCGATCTTTAAGGATAAAGACATGCCCCAAACCCTAGCATAGACATGCCCTTGTTTCTCGGACCTGAACTGTTATTAACAATAAGTTGTAAGTAAAACCCCAAAAATAAACAAGTGGAGAATCCGATGGGGATGGGCAAAGTACTTTCCGAAATTTGGTAAAATCTAACAACCTTGTTTGGAAGTAAACAATTTCATCCAAAATGCGCTTTTCATTTTTTTCAATTCCGCTATTTTAGAATTTTGTTTTTTTAATTTAATACATGTATTCCATTGCAGTTACTAAATGTGACCAATTCTCAATACAATCAACATTTACGAAATCTCCGACGTCATAATGCCTACAAGACAAAACCTTGTCGCAATTATTATAGCAATGGTTTCTGCAAGGCTGGTAATGAATGTTCCTTTTATCATGCTATTGGTGAAATGCGTGTACCGCCTCAGCATGAAATATCTGGAAAAGTGAAGGGATATTCAATTGACGTTAAAGACTTGTTTCCACAGGTTTGATAATTTAATCTTTTTAATGATCTTGATATTTGGAGCATATTGTTAGGTTAGCATAAATAGCGTGGAAATTAGTTTAAGGAGTCTTGTCTGTAAAAATTTTTTTATAATCCCCAATCTAGCCAAAATTTAATTAGTTTTATTTTTACAAAAATTTAAAGATTTTTGGAGAATTTCACCATGACAAAGAAAATCAAGCGCAATTTGGTTCCTCTGCTGCAATGCAATTAGAAATGGAGAGGATTGTTGACCGTCTCATCTCATCACCATTTCGTTCCTTTGAACTGTCCTCTTAAATTATTTTAACCTTAATAGTATTTCTGTCACTTTTTAAATGTCTTTAATTTTTCTAATTAGGTAAATATTTAAGTCTTTTAAAATTAAAGACATTTTCTAAACAAATTACTAATTTTATATGTATATGACTTTAATTTTTATATTTTTCATTAATCCTAAATGT